AACGATGCGTTATTATCATTATTACACTATTTTTTTTAGTAAGAAAAAACGTATATGATTTAATTCATGAATGAATTATTTACCATAAGGTTAGAGTTAGATATTTTTTTTAGAAAAAAAAAAGAAAAACATTTTCATTTATAATAATAATAATTCCTTACTACGGTTCTAGTTTTTTTTTTTTTTTTTTTTTTTCTATACGTTTCCGAATCAATGTTAGAAAAACGATTTTTAACCAAAAATGGCATTAAAAAAAAAATGAAATGAAAATTGAAACTTTTTTTTATTTTTTTTTAATATGGCAACGTATTTATAAAACCTTCGGTACCTAAACCTATGGATACGGGAGGGGATATACGCGAAAAAAAAAAAAAAATTATAATTTATACCGTATTTTGATTTTATTTATATTGAAACGAAAAATATATATATATATATATACTGTCATCATAATCGTCATCATTTCCGGTTTTCGGTTTCTTTTTTATCCTCAACGTGTTATTGTCTAACCGGAAATATAAATTAATAAACACGAAAACGGTAGTAGAAATACCGCATATATGGTTAAAATATATAAATCAAAACGAATTTTTTTTTTTTTTGCCGGACATTATTATCATTATTATCTCTTTTCGACGGGTTTTGTCGTTGTCGTTGACATTCGATAAGAAAATAATAATAATAATAATAATGCGTTCGTAGAGGGATTTAATAATTAAATGAAATGGAAAGAAAAATGTGGGAAAAGTATAAAAAATTATTTAAAATATCATTAATAAGTATGAGAGAGTGAGAGAGAGAGAGAGAAAGGTGTCAGGTACGATGACGTCAATCGAATAAAATTCTGGGATTTTCACGTTTCCGAATTCCTTTTCGTTGTTTCAATAACAATATGTCGTCGTCGTCGTCGTCATCGTCACCACACGCATTTTGTAATTTTTTTTTTTTTTGCGTTCAAATAATAATAATAATAATAATGATAATATGTCATGGCGACGGTAAAAGCGATGAAGAGTTTAAAAAAAATAAATAAATAAAAACTCTCTAATATTAGATAAGGAGGAGGCATTTTCACGGTGATAATAGAAAAATTTGTTAAAATTAATAAAAGGAAAATTGTTTAACAATTTGGCGCGAAAATTTTTAAAATTAATCGAAATTCGATTATATTCTATCTCTCTCACTCGCGAAAAAAGTGGTTTTTATTTCCGTTATATTATTTCGAATAAATTTCATATAAAAAAAAATGTCGATGAAAGGGAAAAACCAAATAAAACGAAACGAAAACATTTTTTTTTGTCGTCGTCGTTTGTCGTCGCCATTTTGTTGTGTCGTTTTATTAAAAAAAAAAAAAAAAAAAACAGAGGTACGCGAATGTCATCAAACTGTCTGTCGTCGATGACGAAACCACGATTTTTATTTTTCTTTTATTTTCTTTTAAATAAAAACGGGAAAATGGGAAAAGAAATTTTTTTTTTTTTAGTTCAGACAGATAATGTTATTATAAGCGTAAGTTTCCGAGAAAATCTCATCGGATTCTGAGAAATTCAATGAAAATTCCATGAATCAGAAATTGTTGTTGTTGTTGTGGTTTATTATTATCATCATCATAATCATCATCATCATCGTCATCATCATCATCGTCTTCGTCGTCGTTATTATCATTTAAAATAATAAGAATGATCGCTGATTTTTTTTTAATTTTTATTATGGCGCTTTTAACAAATGAAAATTATTATTATTATTATTATTATTATTTATTGTCTTTTCGTACTTTTAACGTATATAATTTTATTATTATTATTATTATTATTATTATTATTATTATTATTATTATTATTATTAATACGAGTTTTATTCAAGGTTAATTGTTCCTTATTTTTTTTTTTTTTAATGAAGGATTTTATTTTCAGGTATCAAATATCTCGCTTTTTTTGTTTTCCCCTTCTCCCCCCCCCAAATTTGTACATAAATTTTGGTTATTTATTTATTTATTTAAAAAAAAAAAAAAAATGGCGGGTTCAGGCTCCGGAAAAGAAAAATACTAATAATAATAATAACTATTTATTTATTTATTTATTTATTATAAACATTCCATTAGTAAATAAATAATTTTCCGGAGTGATTATTATTATTATTAATTTGGATCTTATTCGAAATTTTTTTTTCAAATTTTATTAATAATAATAATAATAATAATGAAAACGCGGAGGTAAATAAAAAAAAAAAATAAAAATAAAAACAAAAAAAAAACAAAAAAAAAAAGCAGACGAAAAAAATTTAAATTTTCTTGTCGTCGTTTTCGTTCTCACCGTTGCTGTTGTTGTTGTTGTTGTTGTTTTCGTTTAGTTTTGTTTACATTTAGTAATTTTAATAGTATTATTATTATTATTATTATTATTACTTTTTTAATTTTATAAAAATTGAAAGTTTTTTTTTTTTTTTTTTTTTTTTTTTTTTTACAAAAAAAATTAAATTTCCCCCTTCTTAAATTTTCTTTTTTTTTTTTTTTTTTTTTCCCCCCCCAAAATCTTTTTCACAACCGCCAGGTAATTAATAATAATAATATTAATAATAATAATAATAATAACAACAAACGTTTGGGGACAAATGGGAAAAAAAAAATTGACCCGATATGAAAAGTTTTGGGGGGGGGGGGGAAAAAAATTTTTTTCTTATTAAAAAAAATAATAATTATTATTGATTATTATTTTAACAAATAACTTTGACACCGGTGAACAATAATTAATAATAGTGTTTTCTTTTATAGTATTTATTATTATTAATATTAATATTAATATAAATAAAATGAAATTTTTTAATAATTTTTTTATCGTCGGATTCGGGTATTAAAAAAAAAAATATGAAAGAATAATAAAAATAATAATATTAGTAATAATAATAATAATAATAATAATTTAAAAAAGTAAAAATAAAATAAATAAAAAAAAAAAAAAAAAAAACATAAAATGGATTTTTTTCGTACACGATTTATTATGTCGATCTGGATACAATCAAAGGTATATTTTCATTTATTTATTTATTTTTAATTATTATTATTATTATTATTATTATTATTATTATTAGTTTGTTAGTTTGTATTATTATTATTATTATTATTATTATTAATATTGATAACGGAAATCGATTAAGATATTTAAATTCTTTTTTCGTGCCGGCATATTTTTTTTCTTTTCTACCTGATAATTATCCCGAATTATTAAAATCGATTTGGTTGTTATCGAGGTACGGATGGATGGATGGATGGTCTCGAAGTTTTAGGTTAGGCACACACATTAATTAGAGATAAAGAAAAGAAAAAAAAAAAAAAAAAAAAACGTGACATCCGTCTCGCGGTTTCGATGACAGGAAAACCCAAGTAAATGGCAATCAAATATTTAACCTCAACATTTTTTTTTTTTTTTTTTACATTAAAGTCTCTCAATAATCAAAAATTAAAAATCCCGCGATTATTATTATTATTATTATTATTATTATTAGTGTTATTGACGTCACAATATCGTCATAAAAATGATTCAAATTTTGTATAATATGATGATGATGATGTAGGAAAAACGAGAGAGAGAGAGAGAGAGAGAGAAATAAAAATAAAAACGAAACGAAAACTTTTTGAGAGAAAAAAAAATCATAATGACTTCATTTAGAACAAAATAATAATAATAATAATAATAATAATAATAAAAACATTTAATTTGTAAAAAAAAAATATAAAAATTCCGTCAAAGGTTTTTTTTTTCATGGATGAATTCAAATATTAAATATATATTAATAAAAATAACAAAAACTAAAAAAAAACTAAAAAAATAAAAATAAAAATTGGACTGTAAAAAAAAACCTCAAAAGGAAAGAAAAAAATGGAAAATGAAATAATATAAATCAAATTAATAATAACATTTACGGTTTTTTTATAATGAAAATTCAATTATAAATAAGAGAGAGAGAGAGAGAGAGAGAGAGAGGACGAGCGAGTTTGTGTGTGTGTGAAAGAGAGAGAGAGAGAGAGGGAAAAATGAAGAAGAAAACCGTGTTCAATATGATTTTTTTTTTTTTTTTTTTTTTTACGAGTCGGTTTTTAATGATAATTATTACCCGAAGAGCCAGGCATGAATGCCCCCCCGAAAAAAAAAAAACTTCTTAACGCCCATAAAACTGTCGTAAAAATCAAAATAATATAATCGGACGACTGAACTAAAGGCAAAAAATAAAGAAACTTTTGAAAAAAAAAAAGCACGGATTTATTAAAAAAAAATAAGGAGGAGGACCCTCGAATGAGGAGTAGAAGAAGGAGGGGTAGAAGGGGAGGGGAGTGGGAATAAGGTTCGGTACCTATTTTGAATCGGTCCAATTCTTGACCGGAACGTATTTTTCGCATTGATATTTCTTTTTTTCTGTTTTTTTTAATGATACATGGGGAGAGATAGAGAGAGAGAGAGAGAGGGAGAAAAATTTGCATGTTAAAACTCTTTCTCTCTCTCTCTCTCTTATTCGAATATAATAATAATGATGACGATGTAGGAGAGGTAAGAAAGCGTTAAAAAAAAAAAAAAAGGAAAATTTCCATAATTTGAACGCGCGCGGCATTTATCGACTTTTAAAGTGACCAAAGTTGCCCACCCGCGTTGATGAACGTCTTTGGGTTTCCCCGATGAATTTATTATTATTATCATCATCATCATTATTATTATTAGTATTAGTATTATTATTATTTAATCCTTTAGTTTTTATTTTTTTTTATTTTTTATATTTTTTTATATTTTCCGTTTCACATTTAATTGTTTTCCCCTTTTTTTTTTCTTTAAAACTTTAAAACTTGGTTTTTTACACCAATAATGATAATGATGATGATGATAATAATAATGACAACATGGATGACGAGAAAAAAGTAATTAATTTTTTTTCTTTTAATTTTTCCCGCAGGATTAGGTGAAGTTTTTATCGTTGGGGTCTGTCTTTTAATACTAGTTCGAGTACCATCCGTGATGTCGGCGCCTTCGACCCGTTTTATGAAAACGACTGAAAAAATCCACTCTCACAAGGGAGGTCACAAGGCGCCGGAAGATCCACCCAGTTACGTGTATCCCTGCGGAAAAAGTCACGAAGAGGAAATGAATAAATATTATTCAAATTCGAGAGAAAGCGATCCGGAAATTCTCAAACACATTATTATAAGAACTAAAAGCGCTCTCTCATATGCCGAAAGTTTCAGGGATAGATACGTGAGTAGTCTTATAACATCTTTTATCATCGGTGTGTTGGAGTGAGTGAATGATTGATTGATTGATTGATTGATATTTGCGAAGGCGGCGGAAAGAATTAAAAACCGGAAGTTATTCCGTTGTTGTTAAATTTCATTTGTTTTTTCGTCTCATCCTTTGTTATATACAATGTATATATGGATTTTAATTTTTAATTACTGGTCTGAATCATTTTAAAATGTTCACGTGTGACTGACGTACCTGAATTATGAAAGAAGAATACATATATTTATGTTTTTCGATTGTTATCTTCGATTAAATGAATTTTACTAAACTAAAAGGTACCTGGATCTGAATCTGAGTCATTGTTTTTAGCAGAAATCCTAAAAGATATTTTTTTGAATGATAATAATAATTAGTAGGCACGTCGTTACTAAGTATGCGAATTTTTGTCTGAACGGTGCAAACAAACAAACGACTGACTGACACATGCCGACATTTTCAATTTTCCGACACGCACGCACACGCACACACGCACGGTCAGAATTTTTATTTTAAAGGTTAAAGTTTAATTTTTTTTTTGTAAATTTATCGACATTATACTGTTGTTGTTGTTAAGAATCGAGACATTTTTTTTTTCTTTTGTAGTTTTTGATTTGCCCACCTTGAATTCCTGCCAATTTAAGGAGGTCGAAGTGGGGAGGGGGGAAGGGGAAACACTCAAACTTTCATATTGCTTTGTTATTATTACCCGTTATAAACCTTAACACGTCCCTGACATGCATCAACTTAGTAAATCCCCGGCGTTTATTTAAGAACGAGCGATTTTTCAGGCATTTCCTGTCAGTTGCACTCTCACCAACCCGTTTGTTCTCTCTTTCTGTTTTCTTGAGCAATAATAATATTTTCTTTTGTAGTTTCCAACAAACAAACAACAAACAACAACGACAACATATTTGTTGATTATTATACAACATATTTATATTTTTTTTTTTATAATGACGAATCCGGACAATTTCCGTTAGCTATTTATTTTTTCCCTCCGGAATTTTCACGTCTTGGAAAATTTTACGTTGGTTGTTAAGTGATGACGTAACGTGACATTTCCATCTGTCACACAAATACTTGCATACTTATATAATTTAAAAAAAAAAAAAAATTCAATTGATGGTAAAATTTCACATTGACAGACGTGAAGGCGGTGAAAAAGAGAAAATAAATATATATATATATATATATATAAGGGCGCCTGGAAAAGTTTTTTATTTTTTTTCATACAATACGGGGAGCCAACATTTTAATAAAAAAAAAAAAAATGTCGGTCGAATCGACAAAAATTAATTATTTTAACTACTTTTTAATTCTTATTGTAATAACTTTATAAGGTCTTATTAGTTCTACCTGTTTTTTTTCCCCCCCAGAGGTGGTTGTCTATTTATATGGTATCGTTTGACGTCATTTCAATTAGTCTTGTTGCCTTTTTCTTTTCCTCCTATTCTTTTACGTATGTGGGATTTTAATTTTTTTTTTTCCACCCCCTTCACTTGCATCTTTCGACGACATTTTCTTTCTTCTTCACTTCATCCTTACACAAGCAGAATTATTAGTTTTTTTTTTAAAAAAAAAAGTTGTTAAATTTAAAATCATGCCAATAAGTCTGAAGCTTTTGTTTTTTTTTTTTTTTAATTAAATTCCTTTGGATAAATTTTTCCCAGACAGCGTGGCAACTTCTTGGGTCTCTTTTGTATATCGAGTTTCATTTCTATGTAATAACCGTGTGGGAAACTACACTTAGAAAACATGATTCTTTTGTACGACGACGACGACATGTTTCCGTACCACAACGCAATATCCTTTCATTGAATGACAGAAGTGAGAAAAAGAAAGAAAGAAAGAAAGAAAGAAAAAATTGCCTATCTGAGGAAAAGAGAGAAGAAATAGGAAAACGGAGCAAACGAAATTCGATCGTGTCCGCACTATAATAAGACATTTTGTTGACACTTGTATACGAATCGGAGATGGAAGACTCCTGATTTATTTTCACTGACTATGGTCATTTTTACCTCGGACAGGTGTTCTTGTTTTGAGAATGTGTGTGCACAGCCTTGTTAGTCTCCTTGTAGGTCAGCCTCAACATTCCTCCTCCTCTCTTTGAGAGACTTCTCGGAAACAACAAACATCTTCTGAACAAAATAAATGCTTACATTGCTCTAAAAAAAAAAAAAAAAATCTCTCTACCTTCATTGTGGGAAATTTTTCTTTTTCGAAAGTGGAAACACATTCGGAAAATGAAAACCTAAAAAAAAAATTGACCGTCGTCAACGAATAGCGTAAACCCCTACTCCCCTTTTTTTTTATAGAATATTTCACTTGGGTGGAAAAAGAATTTTCCATAGTTAAAAAAAAGTCATTCGCCTCATCGTCGTCGTCGTCGTCATCATTATACCTTCAATGAATGACGCATTTACCTTTTTAACTGATTAGGCGGCGGTTGTCATAGAGAATTATTATAATTAGAGTTTTTGGATTTTTTTTTTTTTTTTTTTTTGATTATTAGCCGATACGTGGGAATGTTTCGGGATTTATCTATTAGAAGACAGTTTGGAAAAACGGTGATGAATATAACCCAAAATGGTTTGAAATTTCTTCTCAGGTGGCTCGTTCGTCAGTCATGCAATGCCAATTAGGCTCAGCAATCAACCAACCAACCACCCATTCTTTTCATAATTATTAGTCTGAGTGTTTGCTCTTTTTTTTTTTTTTACATTTGATCCGTCCGTTTGATCGAACGATCCCCCCTTCCTCCTTCCCCCTTTCCCAAATTGAAAAATAATGGTGAAATTTGTATTTTTTCCAGGTTGAGAGTACGTTTCATTTGTCATTTCATCAACACCACGCTCAATGGGTCAATCACAAATACGATTGGCTTCCGAATGAGGGAAACGGAATTCCCAAAAGGTTGGGAAAAAACGTTGATCCCATACATTTGGAAAGCAAAACCTTCGATGAGTTTCTCGTTAACATATACGAACATTTGCAAAAATTTGCGGTTGGTCTCGAACAAGTAGTCTGGGATCAGAAAAAAACCAACGGAAAATTTCAGGAAAATTTCCGAATGTCAGAAATTCATTTGAGAAATGTAAGTGTCGTGTCACTAGGATGAAATACCTTTTCCTCTCCCCTCCCTCTCTCTCTCTCTCTCTTTAAAATTTTTTTTAAAACTAAAAATCAACATTTGATTCAATCGCGTGTTTTTTTTTTATTGGGAAAAAAAAGGTTCTCTGCGAAATTCGGATGGCCATGATTGAAAGAAACGTCACTCCGAGAGATCACGTTCCCAGGAGCATAATGAAAGATGATTTTAGACATCTCGAATCAGCTTCCTACAGGAATCTAAGAGATTGGTTCATATTTCGTGATTTGATGAACAGTCTCGAATATGTTATACAAGTTTTTACTTTTATCGAAGAAAATCTTCCTTCATCATCGACGACCGCGTCCTCATCAACATCATCATCATCGACATCGTGAAGGTTTCCTCTTCTTGGAAACTCCCAAGGAGTCGTCGTCGTCGTCACACGAAGAGAAAATTCAAAAATGAATGAATAAAAACGAATCAAAAGGAAAAAGGAAAAAGAGAAAGGAAAAAAATAAAAATAAATCCATAATACTAATTAAAATAATAATAATAATAATAATAGTTTTTGTGCCCTTTTTATTTAGACGGTTATTAACTAATTTATGGAGAAAAAAAAATCTACTTATTATTATTAAGCTAAATAATTATTTATTTATTTATTTATTTAAATTAGGGTACTTACAAAATTTAATAAGAGAAACAAAAACAAAACTCCTTGAAATCCAAGAAGAGGTTTTAGTATTTTTAATTAATAATAATAATATATATAATTATGTGTAATATATTATACATAACATATATAAATAAATAAAGTATTAAATTAAATTATCTTATCATAATAATAATAATAATAATAAAAAATTAGACAATATTTATTGGAATATTTTTTTTTTTTTTTTTTTTTTTAGATTTGCTTACGTCAAACATAATAATAATAATTTATATTATTTAAATAGAAATTTATTAATAAGTCAATATCAATTTATTAGATGCATTTATTAATAAGTTTAAAATATATATATATATATATATATACATATATATAATTTATTTATGTATATTTAAAACAAATTTTTTTTAAAATATGAAGTGATCGTAATGATAATATAAAATAATAATGATAATAATAAAAACGAAAGTAGATTATATATATATATATATATATATATATATATATATATATATATATATATGTATGTATGTATGTATATAATGTAATGTAAAATAAAAAATTTTATTTATTTAAACAAAAAAAAAAAAAAAATGTTTTTCCTCTTACGAGAGGCTCATAAATGATCGTAGAGAGAGTGAGTGAGAGAGAGAGATAGAGAGAGAAAGAGAGAGAGAGAGAGACCTAACCCGATTTTTTTTTTTTTCTCACAATGTCACAGGAAAACACATTATTTTTTATACAAATATTTGATTTTGTCGCTCTTCATTGTCCAACAAAGAAAAAAGAATTCTTCTTCTTCTTCTCTTTTTCTCTTCTTCATCTTCTTCTCTTCTTCTTTTTTTTTTTTTAACTAACAACAACAAAAACCTTACCTAAAGATAAAAATTCTTCATCGTTTAAAATCGTTAAAAAAAATTTAACTGTTGTAATTACTATTATTATTATTTAATAATAATTAGTTTTGTAACATTTTATTATTCCTTATTATCATTATTATTATAAAAGGGGATTTTTATTAATAAAAATAAGAATCCCGGAGTGTTAGTGCGTGTGCGTTTGTGTGTGTGGTTTTCATTTGGCGAAGAAACTACTCGGATGACCGACAAAACAATGAATTTTTCTTAACTTAGAGATGCAATTTAAACAATAAAATTTGAAATTCATGAAAAATATGCTGGAGCACGTACCTAGGTACAACACTACCGGAAGCTTCATTGTCTTGTGGTCGGTGCTGGTTCAGACTAAACGTGCCATAATTTCTTTGCAAAGCTCGAGAAATTTTTTTTTTTTTTTTTTTCTCTTTGAAAACGAAAGCAAGGAGGAGGAGGAGGAGGAGAGGGGGAGTCTGTGATTGTTTAAAATGGTAAAAAAAAAAATTTAACATGGAAATGAACGATAATAATGATGATTTTTATATAAAAAAAATAATTAACCGATGATCGACGATGGCGGCGTAATAATAATTCAATATAAATCATTCGTTCTCTCTTTTCACACGATGTTTTTCTTTTTATATATAACTAAAGAGAACACCAACTCACACAGGTATTAAGGTATTAGATAGGCAGGTGATTTCAGGTTGACGCCTACATGGCAAACATAAGAATCGTCGTCACACATCCGAGATCACACTTTCTTTGTTTATTTAACAATTGACCAAATATTATATTTATTTTTCATTGTTTTTCCCTTTTTTTTTTTTTTTATTTAATTTTTTTATTTTAATTTTCTTTATTGTGTGTGTATGCGAGTGTTCTAACAGTAGAAGAAATCATTATTATTATTAACGAGTTCGTGTAGTCTTGTCAAAAAAGTAACAATTGTAAAATAGGTGAGGAAAAAAAAATTTCGGAACAGACAGCGCGTCCATAAAAACTTTTTTTTTACCAAAAATTGTTGTCAACTGACTGACCATTCATTGACAAAAAAAAAAAAATGGAGAAAAAAAAAAGAAACTAAAATGTATGTTTGATTAATTGTTTGGCATTTTTTTTACCAGGTGAGGCTCTTGAGAAAAGGCACCTATTGTGTGCAAAAACCCATTAAAAAAAAAAAAATGTGTCATTTCTTGTTTGAAAAAAGCGGCGCCAGGAATCAAAAGCACCAGACGAACCCCCGGGGCCATTATTTTTATACAATGGGGCCACCGAAAAATTTTTTTTTTTTATTTATATGACGGCTAATTATTTGGACGTGAAAAGTGGGTGCCCAAATATTTTTCATTCCCTTTTTTAAATTGACTTTTTTCTCTTTTTTTTTTTGAGGGGGGTTACATCCGATGATATCTTAACGAGGTATGGAAACATAAGACGAAAGAACAAGATGGAGGAGGGTGTCAGTTTGTGGATTTTTCACAGGATTTTCATTTTAATTACTTTTTTTTTTGTTACAAAAAACAAATTATTAGATTTTATTGGTCATGAGATACAACACTGACATGAGAGTTGTTGTTGTTTTGTTGAAAGGTAATAATAATAATAATAATAAAAGATTAAAAATAAAAAATTTTTATCAATATGAAAAGATTTACAATAACAAAAATAACAAGGAAGAAAAAGTGTCAAAAGAGAAGGTGGGGGAGGAGTAAACCTAGTTATTATTTATAATAATGTAAAAGCCGAAAGGACAAACTGTACATCACACCTTCAAGGTATAAAAAATGTCAAAGGTTTTTCGGTATTTGAGTTCTTTTGTCACAAGAAAAAAAATTTTTTTTTTTTTGGTTTCCTTTTTCTTTCTTTTTGTGAGTATTTGAGTGTGTGTGTGTGTGTTTGTGTATTAAAAAAAAAAAAAAAAGTCAAAGGACTCATCCATTGAAGATTAGACTTCATTCACCGTTCGCCGGAGGTGTTGCATTGTTTGGGTGATACGCGGTAGGTCTTAAATAAGAAAAACTGGCGTCAGCGGGGCTAACGTTATACTTGAAAAAATTTTCTATTCAATAAGTTCAATGGCTATTTATTGACAACTGATAAATTTACAGATAAAGATGTCCTTTTTTGACACCTTCCAACATTCAACAAAAAAAAAAAAAAAACACCTTTTTTTTTTTTTTAACCTTTCAAAAGGAATTTTTGTCATTATATGTTTTCTTTTGCACTTTTTTTTTTTTTAGAAGCGACTCGTTTGTTTTCTCTTATTATTATTATTTTTAAAATTTTTAACTCTCCCTACTTTTTCCCACAATAATCCAATTGGGAAATAATTAATTGTCAATGTCAACCTATTTTCATACCTTGTTTAAAATTTTGATTTGGTTTTTTATTAAAGTCGTTAATAATAATATTTGTACCTGTTTTTTTTTTTTTTTTAAAAAATATGTTATTACCGTTACAAAACGAAATGTATTCGATTTGTTTGTTTTTCTTTTTCCCGCCATAATTTGTTTATGTTTATTACTCTATGAGATTTTTGTTTATATCGAATAACGTTGCAGACAAATTTTGTAGTCTTCTTAATAACGATTTTTATTTGTTCTTTTTTGATATTTAGTTCTTAAAAATATATATTTGTGAATAAATAAATATAAATAATTGGTAAGTAATATTATTTTTTATATTTTAAAATAAATTTTTCTTTAAAAATGATTAAATAACAAAAAGAAAAGTTCGAAAAAAAAAGATTCTGTTTTTACAATAATATATATATATATGTATATAAATAGATAATGTGAATTTTTAACTTTTAAAAATTGAAAAAAAAAAAAAGGAAAAAAAATTTATTATTTTTAACATAATAATAATGACATTCCTTTTTAAATTTGTAAAAAAAAAATTATTTAAAAACCGCCCTCATGACAAAACTTTTATGAAATGAAGAGTTCGTTCAATTTTAACAACAAAAGAAATGTTGTGCCTCTCAGGTGGTGGCCATGAAATCAACATTTTAACATTCAATTCATTTAATTTTCACGGTATTTAATGTTTAGAACCCTCTCAAAAAAAATTTTTCAAGTTGTTAAAAAAAAAAAAATAAAATAAAATAAAATAAAAGAAATGAAAATAAAAAAGAAAATGTCATCATTTGTTAAAAACTAACTACTTTCCTTTTTGTTATTGTAAAACATGTACTCAAACTGAAATTTTTGTTGTGTGTGAAAAAATATGTATAAAAATTATCTTTTTTGTTTGTTGTTTGTTGTTGTTGTTTTTGTTGTTTGCAATAATCGAATAAAGCTCCTGAGAAATTAGTCATGGAGTTGCAACACAAAAATTATAATTTTTTCTCAATTTAAAATTTGTTTATAATGAAGTAAATATAGAAACAGCAGACAATTTTTTAACGTTTTTTTTTTTTTTAATTTAACGATTTTTTATTCGATTAGAAAATAATTTTTATTTTATATTTCGGGTTTTTTTGAAACCGTTACTTTTTTTTCCAACCTTCTTAATTAAAAAATTTAATGTTTTGCAAAATGTCAATTTGATTTTAAAAAATATTTAAAATAAAATTGATAATAAATTTATTTTTTTATTTCTGCGTTTTTAAAACTGTCAAGATATTTTATTTTCAGAGTAATAAATTATTATTTTGTGGTTTAGTTTAATAGGCCGTTTCGTAGGTTCTTCCATTAATATTTTTTTTAAAAAAAAAGTTTTTATTATTTAATTACAAATCAACTAAAATAACTGCTTTTAATTGTTTTTTTTTTTTTCCTTTTGTATGAGTTGGCTTATTAAGTACTATGAAAAGTCATGTGAAAAGGTATTTAAAAAATTAATCTTTCAATTGTATTTTGTGTTTATTAAAAAATTTTATTAAAATTTGTTACCCTTATTAAAAAGGGTAATAAGATAAGCAAGTTTTATACAAACATTAGTTTAAATAAAAATTCGTCACGTCATTTTACAAAAAAAAAAAAAAAAAGTAATTATGTTCATTGCTCCGCCATTGTATTTTCTTTATTTGTTTCATTATCACATTGACTATTACCAGAATCTTTCACTAAATTTTTTGATGTATTTTCAGGTATATCGGCAATTATAAAAGGATTGATTAGTGTTATTTCCTTGGGGAAATCATCTCTCACAATAAACCTTTTTTCTCCAGGATCGATTATTGAATCAACCAAACCTAACCAATATATCACCAGACCAGTTCCAAACCTGCGAATAAGATGAGGGATGTTCAATCGAAGGTAAGTGTTTTTCTTTTAAAGTAATAGAATAAACAATAAATTTATATATTTCAATGAGTACCTATTCCAATAACTTGAATATTGTTCGTTTAAATAATTTTGATGTTCTTCTGGGTCCCCGAAAAGTGCTTTACTCTCGATCCAATTAATCACAAAACCATCGACAGCAAAAGGTACATCTAATTTGATATCAGGTGTTTTATCATAACCATACATTCTCAAATCATCTTCGCTTTGAAATGTTAAATTTTTTTCTTTAACAATTTTTTGCAAATGATATTCGTATTCTTGTCCGAAACAACTAAAAATTTTAATTTCATTTTCAACTGATCAAATTATATATAAATAATGAGCTTTTAAAAATTATTAAAAAATAACATACTGCCTAATAATATCATTTATATGTCCATATTGATAATCGTAGAGTTGACACTGAAACAAATTAGTTATATTTTTAATAAAAAATATTTTATAAACTTTTTATTAAATAAAAAAAAATTGTTACATACGAGAAAAACTTCATGAGCTAAATCGAGATCATCGATCAAAGTAGAATCTTTCATATATTGTTTCAAATTTGATGTTTTATTGTTAGTCGAAATTAAATTTTTATCTTTTTCATAATAATTATCTAAAATAATTTTTGCTACTTGAGTACATGTCATATCCATTTCATTAGATAGTTTTAATATAACGTCAGGACTATTGTTTAAACTTTTCATATTTAAATACCTAAAATTTTAAAATAATAATAATAATAATAAGTTTTCTTATAGGTTCTTTAAATATTTTACCTTTGAAAAAGTTTTTCATGTTGAATTTTGACGTGATATTTTTTTTTTTTTCTTTTGTATTCATTTGAAATAATACTTGATATTGTATTACGAGGTATTCTGAAAAAAAAAAAAAAAACATATAAATATTAGCAAAAGCTTCACCCCTATTAACAAAAAATTTATTGAAAACAAAATGTACATAGTACCCAAATTCATCTGAAAGCTCCAATTCAAGTTTCTGATAATTTTCTTTACAATTCTGTATTCTCGATATGATTTTAATATAAGTTTCTTGAAGTAAAATCATATTAATCTTTTTTATTTAATTTTAAACCGTTTTAAAAATAAAATTTTACATTACATGCAACAGTTTGTATCCATACAATTGTAATTACAACTCGGGTTTATTAAGTCATAAATTAAAACTTTGGAAAATGTTTAAATAATTAAAAATTGTTTAAACTAATTAAAATATGATTTTAGAACTGTTAAATCGTCTTTAATTAATTTTATTAAATTAAAAGTAATAATAAACCTTCACTTAACCTAAGTTGGTGTAAATGTAAAATCTATGATGCGATACCATGATCTGATACTCTATGATACGGTCATAGAGTAAATACCAACAGATAACGAATAATTTAACAATAGGATAATTATATTAAAATATAATAAAACATAAAATTTAAAATTATTTCTTGATATTTCTTTAAAAAATTTTGTTTATTGGTTTTAATTTTACAAAAAAAAAAACTTAAAGGATATAAAAATTTTATAACGAGTTTTTAAAAATAAAAAAAAAAATTTATTTACTTTTATACTAGACATACTAGGCATACAAATACGTGTCATTTATTTTTAAATTTTAAGTAAATAATTTTTAACCGTTTAAACTTATTGAATATGGATATGAATTTGTCGTATCTCTCCACACGGTATCTCCTTCATTTTGGACATAATTATAACATCCTGATTCGTAATATTCTTCATTTTCCGGAGGTTGGACAGTTGTATCACATATATATCCCCCATGTTCTGGAATCATGTAATACTGCGTGGACCAATAATCCGAATTACTTACTTTTTCTTTTTCAAAAGTTGGCTGCGGTGGTTCTTCCAAAAGAGATTGTAGATGACGTATGTATCGAATGGATAATCTAAAAGGTTGATTAATTCAATTATAACATTGTTTCAATTAGAAAAAAAAACAATGGAAAACAAACCTTAAGGCTTCTATCTTTGATAATTTTTTCCCTGGTGATTTTGTCACGGGTAATTTTGCTCTTAGTAAATCGAAAGCTCTATTCATGTCTCTCATTCGTGTTCTTTCTCGATCACAAGCGGATTTTTTATAATCTGGAAACGTTTTTTTTTTTTATTTAAAGTAATATGTAAAGAAAAAATGGCGGTTAAGAGTTAATCATATTTTTTTTTACCTCTTTCTAATTGTGACGCTGCTTCCTTCCACGCAGGATTTGGTATGGATGTTATTATTGTTTCATTTTTACTTAAATCTTCAACAAACATTTTTATTTCACACGGAACGGTAAGCGAAGTTAATTTTTTCGTACATATTTTTTTTATTTTTTGTTCGCGACATTTTGTACGTTCTTTAAAATCATTCATAGTTTTTTCATCAACAATCGTCGTACTATTATTTATCATTGTTAAATTATTATTTTTTAACGTTTCGTTTTCCAATATATTATCATCACTTTTCATTGTAATCAATTCGTTCATTTTAATATAATAATAATAATAATAATAAATGAATTTTCACAAAAAAATCCGATTTGAAACCAAAAAAAAAAATTTTTTTTTTTTTTTTTATTTATTTCGCCACTTTGCTGTGACAGTTCGTTAAATGATACTAGTAAATGATGTGATGAGCAAGTGTCCTTAACATCTTTGCAATCATTTATTTCGGTTTTTTTTTTTTTTTTTTTTTTTTTACATTTGAATGGGGAATAAGAACTAATTACATCCGTATTGTTTTCTTATTTGTTTGTTTATTTAAGTTCTCATTATAAATTCAGGATATTATTCTAATCGTATTTACACGGATTAATTAAAATGTGATAGTAAAATGTGACACATAAGTAAATAGAAAAAAAAAAAAAACAATATTAAATAATAGCATAAAGGATTATCTATCTCCCCTCTTAGGGTAAAACAGGGGAGTTTAAAACTTTAGTTTATTACTCTCAAGGTATTCTCAACAATTTAATAATAATAATAATAATACTTTTTATAAAAATTTTATTATAAATCAATTAATATTATACATTTCAAATGAATTTAAATAACTTTCCAATATGAAATTTACATTAAAATGAAGGGTTTAATAGAGTAAATAACAAAAAAATAATATTTTTATTAATACATAAATAAAAAACATTTAAAAATATTCTCCCATGAATTGTTTTTATATTAACGGTTGATATTTTTCTTTGTATTTAAAAAAAAAAAACAAGATTTTTCGCTATAATAATTTAAATAAGGATTTAAGTACATATAAGCATATTTGGTATCAACTTTGAATTCAAACAGAAGTTTTTTTCCTTTGTCATAGAGTAAAAAACAACAATGTGTTTTTCCATTGAGAGTTTATAAAAATTATAAACGGTTATATTTTTGTAATAAGGTAATTCGGAGTAAAAATAAATAAATTTAACAAATAAAATTCGTATTTATATATGTTTAAATGTTTTTTTTAAATAATGGAATCACCTAAAACCTCGAGACAAATACTTCATGAAGGTAATTATTATTTTTCCTGTAATAATTATGTAAATACTTTTTTTAAAAAAATATTTTTGTAAATGAATATTTTTGAATTTCTTCAAAGTTATTATATTCGATTAAATGTCGCTTAAGAAAAAGGGATAATGTTTTTAATAACTTATCTTATTTCTTTTTTACACTTTATGTTATTACAAAGAGAAACATATTGAAATTGAACCATTGAATTGACAAATGTGGTTATATTGAAATCATTTTTTGTTGTATCTTTTAGTTGAAATATTTGCTTCTCAAAGTAATTTTAGCCCTTTAACTGAAAAGGTGCATTCTAAAAATTACAATTTATACAATTTACACAAAGAATCAAGTCCAAATTTTGGTACCTGTCAAGATGTTTTGGAAATCGGATGGGGTGACTCTCCCGGTAAGTACAATAAAATCCATAATTTTTTCAATTGAGAAATTTTAGTATAAAAAAAGTAATAATTTTTTTTTTTTTTTTTTAAAGAACCCATTCAATCTCATTCGAAATTAACTAGGAGTACAATCACTTGTAAAAAAAAGCTTGAACCCAAAGAATCACCCAAATCATCTTTACCTCCTAAAAGAAGAAATATTAGGTCTAATTTAAAAAAAGTACAAAATTCATGTGTCGATATAGCTAAATATGTTGCAGAAGTTCAAGAACTTTCGAAAAATGTTATGAAAGAGTTAAATACTAATGTGATCAATAAGGAGAAAAATTTATTTTCAGTTAAAAATTCAGAAATAATTAATAATAATATTGAAGATGATTGTTCTTATAAAGACAAATCGAATTTAGATTATCAAAAGAAAAATACAGTTGCAGTAATTGATGACAATTCAAATTCGGATTTACAGTTTGATAATATTTTACAAAGTTTTATAAAGGAAGAAGATGAATGGTTATTGCAAGCATTGCCTCCTCAAGATTGTGATAAAACTCCAATGAAAAATTTTTTCAAATGTAAATCAGAGACTGAACTAACACTAAATCAACAAAATGTAGGAGAAATAAATAAAAATTCAAGGCAGAAAGTTATGAATAATAATAAACAATTTAACAGAACTTTATCTTTTGAAATAACAAAAAGTCAAGATTCTACACTTCCATGCCTTAATAAAAATGAAAAAGATGGCGAATCATTATATATGACAAAATCTTCGACTACTCAATACTCGAAAGAAGAAATTGAACAAAAAAGATTAGAAGCTTTATATAGAAGAGAGAAAAAAGAAATAGAAAGAAAAAAAATGGAAGCTTTAAAACGATTAGAAATGAAAAAATTAAAGCATAGCAGTACTTAGTAACGAATGTAATTAGGTTGTTGTATAAAATAATTATTTTAGAAAATTATTATTAGGGTTTTTTTTTTTTTTAATTTTTTATTTATAAAATGATTGAATTAAGTTTTTTTTTTAGCAGCTGTATTTTATATTTTTAGTCATTCGTTTTAAATTATTTTCAGTTTTTCAATATTATCAATGAAATGATCAAAGATCAAAATAAAGCATAAAATAAATTGTATATTGTTAAAAATGTCAGTAAATACAATCATAAACAATTTTTTACATTTGTTTTAAAAAAATTTTTTTAAAGCAGTCACTTTAAAATAAATAATAAAATAAATATAAATTTTTTTAAAAAAATAAATTATTACATTTTAATTAAACATTTACAGAAAAATTAATCTTTAATAATTAAACTATTAAAAATTTGATTATTAATTACTTCAGTATTTAAGTAAATAACTAGTACAAAAGCAAATATGAAGACATAAAAGTAAATTTTACATAAATTTAAATAAAAAATATCTTCCGTAATTTATTGGGGGAATTTTCATAACGTTCAAATTTTTTAATAGATAAATTAAAGGTAGTAAAATTTTATTTTTAATAAAAATAAATTATTTATTTAATAAAGGAGATTATTTTTAAATAATCGAAGTTATAATTTATACATCTGGGTAAAATTAACAGTTTTTAATGTAACTTAACGTGGAACTAGTCAAGTTTCAGGCACTGTGTAAAGAAGTTATTCTATGAGTATTGTGTTTCTTTTGTTAAGAGTATACAGATGAATTAATTTTTTAATCGTGAAACATCCGTCAAATATAAATTAAATTTTTGACTATATAAAAATGACCGCTTTACCGGGAACAATAGCTTTTGATGAATATGGACGACCATTCATTATTATTCGAGATCAAGCAAATCAAAAAAGACTTACTGGACTTGATGCCTTAAAGGTAAAGTGTCAATATATATTTTAATATTTTTCTAAATTTTATAATTTTTATCAAATGTTTAGTTATGCATTAAGTTTTAAAAATACTTTTAATGAATGTTCTCTGAAATACTATTCAACAATATTTATTTTTCTGTTTATTTCTTTTTTTTTTGTTAATTTTTTTTGTACACCGGTTAATGAATCATCCTTTAGAGGAATTTTTTTAAAAAGATTATTTTTGTGTTTTTTCTTCTATTACTAATATTAAATAACATAAAATCTCCTGATATGAAATCTGACAACAATTTAAATTTACTATTTAGAGTCATATTGTTGCCGGCAAAACTATTGCTAACACACTCAGAACATCACTTGGACCGAAAGGTTTGGATAAAATGATGATTTCTGCTGATGGTGACGTTACTGTAACTAACGATGGGGCAACAATATTGAAATTAATGGATGTTGATCATGAAATAGCAAAACTAATGGTTCAGTTGTCCCAGAGTCAAGATGATGAAATAGGTGATGGTACTACTGGTGTTGTTGGTAAGGAAATGAGTCATATTACTTTTAGAATTTTAATATCTTTATTTTCAATGATTTTAAAATAATATATGCATTTAAAAAATGTACATTAGAATTTACATAAACATTTTAATCATTAATTGTCTAAACATAATTTATTCTAGTTTTGGCTGGAGCTTTATTAGAACAAGCTGAAGCATTGTTAGACAAAGGTATTCATCCGATAAGAATAGCAGATGGATATGAATTGGCTGCTCAAAGCTGTGTAAAACATTTAGACACTATTGCTGACTCTTTTCCAATTTCTCAAGATAATTTAGAACCCCTAATTAAAACTGCAATGACCACGTTAGGGTCAAAAATGTAAGTTTTTAGTTAATCCAATAACTTTTTAGTATATATTTTTTTTTAATGTCTCAAATCATCATTTTTTTCTAGTGTTAACAAGTGTCATAGGCAAATGGCAGAAATTGCAGTTAATGCTGTTTTGGCAGTTGCTGATTTGGAAAAAAAAGATGTCAATTTTGAACTTATTAAAGTTGAGGGGAAAGTAGGTGGACGCTTAGAAGATACCATTCTTGTTAAGGGAGTCATTGTGGACAAAGATTTTAGTCATCCTCAAATGCCAAAGGCAAGTCAAAACAAAATTTTTTTTTTCTTTTAAATTTAAATTTAAATTTAAATTAATTAGTTATTGTTAAAATTTAAGGTTTTGAAAGATGTCAAGTTAGCCATTCTTACCTGCCCATTTGAACCACCAAAACCTAAAACCAAGCATAAGTTGGATGTAACTTCTGTTAAGGATTACAAGGAATTAAGAAAATATGAGCAAGATACATTTAATCTTATGGTGAAGCAAGTGAAAGATGTCGGTGCAACTTTGGCTATTTGTCAATGGGGATTCGATGATGAAGCAAATCATTTATTATTGCAAAATAATTTGCCAGCTGTTCGTTGGGTTGGTGGGCCTGAAATTGAGGTATAGTTAATTGAAAACTTTTCTTTCAGGTAAATATAATGTAAACAAAATTTTACATAAATGAATTGTTTTAGTTGATAGCCATAGCTACAGGTGGAAGAATAGTTCCACGATTTGAAGAACTCACTCCTGATAAATTGGGTAAAGCCGGTTTAGTAAGAGAGTTGAGCTTTGGCACATCAAGAGACAAAATGCTTGTGATTGAAGAGTGTCATAATTCTAGAGCAGTGACTATATTTATTCGTGGTGGAAACAAAATGGTACAGATCTTTTAAAAAAAATTTTCCATTAATCCTAATGTAGTAACTTGGTGCATTTGAAAATTACAAAAACACGATAATCCTTTTATAAAAAAATATTGATCATGATATTGTATTTTAGATTGTTGAAGAGGCTAAGCGTTCCATTCACGATGCTCTTTGTGTCGTTCGAAACTTGATTCACGATTCAAGAATTGTATATGGTGGAGGAGCTGCTGAAATATCTTGCGCTATTGCTGCCAATCAGCAAGCAGATAAGGTGCGTAGGAAATTTTTAAGGAATAATTTTTTTTTGTCCAGAATTTATTTACTTAATTATTCATGTTATGGTAGTAGTAATTTTATTATATTTAATTTTTTTTTTTCCTTTAGATTTCGTCCCTAGAACAGTACGCGTTCCGTGCATTCGCTGAAGCATTAGAAAGTATTCCTCTTGCCTTGGCTGAAAATTCAGGTTTATCATCAATCAATACCTTAACCGATATTAAAGCTCGTCAAATTAAAGAAAACAATCCTGCTTTGGGTATAGATTGCATGTTGAAAGGCACCAAAGGTAAGGATTTATAGTAAGGGAAACTTTTTCTTTTTAATCGGTTTTTTTGGAAAAACTAATGCGAGTTTATATTTTTAGACATGAAACAACAAAATGTTATCGAAAGCCTTCATTCTAAAAAACAGCAAATCCTTTTAGCCACTCAATTGGTAAAAATGATTCTCAAAATTGATGATATTCGTTCTCCTGGAGAAAGTCGAGATATTTAAGCTTTTCCCACGTAAATGGAGTTAAAATGTCGGATTTTTATATTAAATTTTTTTCTCAATATTAATTTATTAATTCTTAATTACTATAATTTTAGATTTATAATAATATAAATCAATTATTATTATTATGTTTTAATTTCACTTATTTTTAATAGAGGCTTTAATGTAAAAACAAAAAAAAAAAGTAATAGCCTTCATTAATAAAAAATAACAAACAAATTAAAAACTCATCTTAAACTAATAATTTGTAAAACGAACAATTTAAGTTTCTAACTTTTTTTTTTAATTAGACTGTTGAGGAGATTTAAATGTTAGTTAAAAAAAAGAATAACTTTCAGTTTAACATTATCTAAAATTGTTTTAACTTTAAAAGGTTTTTTTTTTTTTTTTATAAATGAAATATAATTTAAATTCATTACATTGTCTTTTTATTCATTTTTACACCATTTTTTAATAAAAAACTATTCTTTTACTTAGTGAATATAAACAAGATGGCGCTTGTTGGTTTGCTTACAGTTTTTTGATACAATGTATAATTTGCTATTAAAAATTGTAGCATTAAAATTAGTAGAATTTTATAAGTAATTTTAATTAAAGTATTACAAAATTATAATTATATAAAACGTTTTTTTTTCTTTGTACAGAAAGTTGATTTATCTTAAATAAATATTATTTTCTTTTTCAAATATAAATTGTTAGACATTAGTTAGGATTTTTGAAGCTCTGAATAAATTTTAATTTTTTTTTCTTTCATTTTTTAGTTTCTATTTAAAAGCAAATTTAAATTAATTGCAATAAATAAAAATTTGATTTCATTTTCTTGTGTAACCCTATTATATTGAAATTGTTTTTATGAACGTGGCATTAGATTATTTACTTTTTTAACATGCCGGATAAAAGTAGTTAAATACGTTACTTTAGTAAATAAATTAAATAAAAATGATTGACAATCATAATTCTTCAAAAGCAAAAGCCGCGGCTCCTACGGTTGAACAAATTAATGCTGATAAAATAACACAGGTAGTTTATTTTAATTACTTATTTATTTTCTAATTTAAATTTATTTTTTTAAAAACTTATTAATTTTAGCTTGCAAGTTTGTATTGGGCACCTCATTCTGTTGAAAAACTCAAGCCGTATGATCCAAACATAGTTGAAGATGTTTATTTTCAAGAAATACTTGGTTCAAAGTAAGTTTGTATAGTTTATTATAATTTAGTTTAAGTTATGCCAAAAGAACTAATCATGTAATTTTTTTTTTGCAGTTTTTCAATAAGACGAATAATGATGTTAGAATTTAGTCAATATTTAGAAAATTATTTATGGCCCAATTATAAAGAAAACGAAGCTTCACAAGCTCATTTAATGTCTATAGTTGTAATGCTAAATGAAAAGTTTAGAGAAAGAGTGCCTGCATGGGATGCATTCACAAAAAAAAGTGAACAATTTTCAGCATTTTTTCAGCATGTATTAAGGGCTTGTTTGTCTGATACCTCTTCACTTAAAGAACAAACAGCTCTTATAGTTTTTTTAAATCATTGTTTTAATAGTATGGAAGTTGATTTAGTTCGAGATCAAGTATGTATTAATAATTTTTTATGAATTTAATTTTCACTGATTGGGTAGTGTAGAAATTTACTTAATATTATTATTATTAAAGGTTAAAAAATTAGTTTCATTGTCAATGTGGGTGTCTCTTCAAGAGGGAAGACGAGAATATGAATTTAAAAAAATTCCTAAATGGAAAAAATATTGGAAACTTATACAGAAAAAAGATGCGACAATTGCGGATAAAGAAAAGTTAAATTGGGAAAGAACATTTTTACATAAATTGATGCTTAAATTTATTAGTTTACTACAATCAATACCAGTTGAAGGTAATATTTTATTTTGAAAATTTTTCAATTTTTTTTTTTCTCTTTACAAAAATTTTAAACTTTTTTTTCTGATATTATTAGATGACAGAAAATTATCTTATGAAAATTTGAAATAAAAAAAAAACGAAACTGAGGTAATTAATACTGCTGAAATTTCATAATTTTTGTTAATAAATTATAATACTGAATATTATATACTGAATTAAACAATTTTATGCAAATAAATCATGTAAAATAATAATTTTTTTCAATAATGACTTTGTTTGTAATTATTATTTTTTTTTTTTTTTTTTTTAGAAGAGATTTCTAGTGATAAAATTAGATATTGTGAAAGATTTTTAGAATTAATTATCGATCTTGAAGCTCTTTTACCAACCAGAAGATTTTTCAATACAGTTATGGATGATTGTCATTTGGTGATTCACTGTCAAATGTCTAACTTGGTTAAATCAAAAGCTGGTAAACTTTTTTCACAAGTAAGCAGGAATCGAAGGAATTTTTTTTCTTATTAAATTATTATTATTATTTTTTAATGTGATAATAATTTTTGTTTCAGTTACTCGACATGTTAAAATTTTATGCACATTTTGAAATAAATGATGAAACAGGAGATCCTTTGACAGATCGTGACATGACACAACTTCATTATGATAAAATTATATCACTTCAAAAAGCTGCATTTTCAAGGTTTCCCGACCTTCGAAAATTTTCTTTATCAAATGTCGCTTCTGTTGATACAAAAGAAGCTTTATTTAATCATTTCAAATCTCTGACGTCAGTATGGAAGTGAAATTAAACAAAATTAATTTTTCTTTCTTTTAGTGTCAATCGTTTAAAATTGTCTTTGTTTTTTCAGTCCTGAAAAACTTCAATCAATAGCAAGATTTTTAAATTTGATACCTCCTGAAAGTGATGACGAAGTTGGAAATTCCTATCGAAAAGATGCTGATTTTTTACTCGAGCTTTTAATTTCTCGTCATGAACGTCGTACCTCACAATTAGAATCCTTAAATGAAATGCCATTGTATCCCACAGAAAGTATTATTTGGAATGAAAACGTTGTACCTTCCGAATATTTTTCTGGTGAAGGTTGCTTAGCACTACCAAAATTAAATTTACAATTTTTGACTTTGCACGATTACCTATTAAGAAATTTCAATCTTTTTCGATTGGAATCAACATGTAAGTTTCCGTTTAAACGAAATATTGGTTTTATTATTATTTTTAAGTAATAATTAATTTGATGCTAATAATTTCCAGACGAAATTAGACAAGATATAGAAGATGCAGTCAGTCGATTGAATCCATGGAAAGCGGAAGATGAAAGTGTATATTTTGGAGGTTGGGCTAGAATGGCTCAACCCATAGTAAGTTTTGCCGTTGTCGAAGTGGCCAAACCAAACATTGGAGAAAAAAGTCCATCGAGAGTAAGAGCTGATGTCACCATCAATTTGTCTGTCAAAAATGAAATAAAAGCAGAATGGGAAAATTTGAGAAAGCACGATGTTTGTTTTTTAATCACCGTGAAACCATTAATATCCATTGGTAAATATTTTAAATTTTTGTTGTTGTTGTTGTTGTTAAACAAAAATTTTATGTTTAATTGTTCCTTGTTCTTTCAGGTACGAAATATAACTCTAAAGATTCTTTTATCGAACAAATGGGTTTGAAATATGTACGGGGTTGCGAAATCGAAGGAATGCTCGATCAAAATGGTCGAGTTATTGAAGATGGACCTGAACCTAAACCTTTGATACACGGAGAGAAAAGAGTTTTTCGTGTTTGGCTGGATTGTAATCAGTATAGAATAGATATGGAAAATTCTAATAAGGGAAAAGAAGTAAGTTGACAATATAATAAATCATAAATAATTTATATTATAAAATTTCAATAATTTTTTAGGATGTTTACGAGACTTTTAATATATTAATGAGAAGAAAACCGAAGGAAAATAATTTCAAGGCAGTTTTGGAAACGATTCGTGAATTGATGAATACCGAATGCGTCGTACCTGATTGGCTTCATGATATTATATTAGGATATGGAGATCCTGGAGCGGCTCACTATCACAGGCGAGTCAATATTTGCTAGTTTTTCAAAGTGTTTTGTCGTAATTGTAAATTTTCATTTCTTGTATTTTTCAGAATGCCAAACGAAATTGCTTCGTTAGATTTTAACGACACTTTTCTCGATACGGATCACTTGCGAGCCAGTTTTCCAGATCACGAAATAAAATTTAAAACAAAAGACATGGAAAAATTAAATCCTCCTTTTAGGTGTGATTTCTGATTTCTGTACTCATTATAAAATTTTTTTATGACATTGTATGACTTGTATTTATTTATTTATTTATTTATTTTTTGTTAAGATTGACATTTCAAGATGTTTTAAAGAAAAAAAGACATATGAATAATGACGAAACGGAAGATGAACAAGTTCAGTGTAAAAAAAAAGTCATCATCGTGGAACCCCATTGTAAAATTAATGAGGGTCCTTACAAATTTAACGAATTGAAAAAGTAAGGTATTTTTTAATAAAAAAATTTGTGCCGTCATCAAATTTTTCAAAATTTTCATAATTATTTTGTTTTGTTCAGGAATACTATTCCTTTCACGCCGACTCAAATAGAAGCCATAAGAGCGGGAACGCAACCTGGTTTAACACTCGTCGTCGGACCTCCTGGTACGGGGAAAACTGATGTAGCCGTTCAAATCATTTCTAATTTGTATCATAATTTTCCAAATCAGAGAACTCTAATCGTTACCCATTCGAATCAAGCCTTGAATCAGTTATTCGAAAAAATCATGAGTTTGGATATTGATGAGCGACATTTATTACGTTTGGGTCATGGAGAAGAAGCTTTGGAAACTGATAAGGATTTTAGCAGGTATGATTGATTGATTGATTGATTGATTGATTGATTCTTCAGAAGAGAAAAATCCGGAATGTAATTATTGTATAATTTTTCTTTTTATAGATATGGTCGTGTTAATTACGTTTTGGCCAAGAGACTCGAGCTTTTGTCAGAAGTCGGAAGATTAAAAGAAAGTTTAAAAGTCCTCGGAGATGTTTCTTATACCTGTGAAACTGCCGGACATTTTTTTCTTTATCACGTAATGACGAGATGGGAAAAATTTATGAATCGAATAAAATCTCAAAATAAAAAAAATGATGTAAATTATATTTAACTATGGAAAACAAATGATTATCGATAGTGATACGTTATAAATTTAAAAAAAATTTTTCGGTTTCCAGAAACTTCCTGCTTCGCTCATCAGCGATGCTTTTCCATTTCACGCATTTTTCGAAAATGCTCCTAAACCGCTTTTTAAAAATGAAACCTATGAAGAAGATTTGAAAATTGCAAAAGGTTGTTATCGTTACATAGAGAAAATATTTCAAGAATTGGAAGAATTTCGTGCATTTGAATTACTCCGAAGCGGATTAGATCGATCGAAATACTTGTTGGTAAAAGAAGCTAAAATTATAGCAATGACTTGCACACATGCAGCTCTTAAAAGGAAAGAATTAGTGGATTTAGGTAATCGTATTGTCGTGGATTTAGATAATCGAGTCGTTTCAAATTTATTACGGCATAAATTTAAATTTCAGGATTTAAATACGACAATATATTAATGGAAGAAGCTGCACAAATTTTAGAAATTGAAACTTTCATTCCACTCCTCCTTCAAAATCCCGAGGATGGTTTTAGCCGGTTAAAACGATGGATAATGATCGGTGATCATCATCAATTACCTCCAGTTATAAAAAACATGGCGTTTCAAAAATATTCCAATATGGAGCAGTCGCTGTTTACTAGAATAGTTCGACTTGGAGTTCCAACAGTAGATTTAGATCGTCAAGGACGTTCTCGACCAAGGTTATTATTAATTCATGTACGATTGGGGGGCAGTTAATTAATAGAATCGTGTCTGATTTAAATACTTTTTTTTTTTTAGTATATGCAATTTGTATAACTGGAGGTATAAAAAATTGGGTAATCTCGCTCACGTGGAAAATTGGCCAGAATATCGAATCGCAAATCCTGGATTCTGTCATGATTTTCAACTGATCAACGTGGAAGATTTTAATGGAGTTGGAGAGTCCGAACCGAGTCCTTATTTTTATCAGGTAAAAAAAGGTTCTTTTTTGCGTTACTTTAAAAAATTGTATGACTAACAGAAAGTTTAATGATAAAAAAATATGTTTAGAATTTGGCGGAAGCTGAATATTGCGTTGCTGTTTACATGTACATGCGATTGATTGGATATCCGGCAGAAAAAATTTCCATATTAACAACTTACAACGGTCAAAAACATTTAATACAAGATGTTGTCAAAATGAGATGTGCCAACAATCCTCTAATAGGACGACCTCACAAAGTTAGTAGTTTTTTTTTTTTTTTTTTTTTATTAAGAGAGAGAGTCACAGAGAGTCAAAGAGAGACAGGGACAGAGAGAGAGAGAGAGAGTCAGAGAGTCACAGAGAGACAGAGAGTCAAAGAGAGACAAAGACAGGGACAGAGAGACAGAGAGTCACAGAGAGAGAGAGAGACAGAGGCAGAGAGACAGCGAGAGAGACACAGAGAGACAGAAACAGGGACAGAGAGAAAGAGACAGAGAGTCAGAGAGAGAGAGAGAGAGAGAATTATGGAAATATTTTATTGTTAAATTTTTTTTTTATTTCAGATCACGACGGTGGATAAGTATCAGGGTCAACAAAATGATTACATTTTGCTTTCACTTGTAAAAACAAAAGCTGTCGGTCATTTAAGAGATGTGAGAAGATTAGTCGTTGCCATGTCTCGAGCAAGATTAGGATTATATATTTTTGCAAGGGTTTCTCTCTTCAAAAACTGTTTCGAACTAACGCCGGCTTTTAATCAGGTGCATATAATTTAAAATGTTTGTGGAGATTTCTCGGTTTAAATGTTTTGTAATTTTTGTTTTTGTTGTTGTAGTTAATGCAAAGGCCCATGAACCTGCAAATTGCTCCACACGAAGTGTACCCAGGTGAACGATCGAATAATGATCCACCTGTAGCCATGATGGAAATGATTGACATGCCACAAATGGCAACTTTTGTCTACGATTTTTACATGCAAAAATTAGAAGCTATGAAAATAGCTTTCGAAGTAAGTTTTCATGTAAAAAAATTATATTTTTGTTTTTAAAGAATGATAATTTTAAATCTTAAATTTTAGGATGTAAAAAAAGAATGGGAAAAACCAGGAGTTGTTACCGAAAGTGTTCCTGAACATTCCGTTTCTCATCATCCGGGAGGAGACGATGATTCCGATGAAGAAGAAGAAGAAGAGGAGGAAGAGGAGGAAAAGGATTCAAATCTTGAAGATTCTGTTATGGAAACAAATACAACAAACCACCCATCCGAGACTGAAAAAATGCAAGTAGATGAAGACGAAGGTGATGAAAATGTGGAAAAGTAAAATATTTGCAAAAAAAAAAACAATAGAACCGAGCCAATTGTTTTGTTTTTAATATTATTCAAAGTCATGCAACTTTAAAAATTAAAATTAGAAAAAAAAATCGATGAATACAGTTTTTTTTAATGAATATAAATGTGTTTTATATAATAGTGCCGCATCGTACTTGTATTTCAATTGTGACAAAAAATGAAGGACATCTTTTATTGGAAAATTTAGGAGAAAAAAAATACTGTATTATAAATAAATTTAAATTATTAAAGTTTTTTTTAAGTTGATTTTAAGTTGATCAATATTTCTGGAAGTTTTTCTTTTGGAACCCAAATCAAGTTTTTACTTGATACACCAAGAAATCAATGAATTTTATATTGTAAATTCAAAATGTCTATTTACACGATGATTTTTTATTAAATATCGAATAAAATTTCTTAATTCGTTCTTTTTTAAAAAAATATGTATTAAATTTCATAATTTCCTTAACGAGTTATAAACTCGTAAGATAAATATTATTATTATTATCATCAGGTATTCTTTTACACAGGCTTTTTTAGGACATAAGAAGTATATATTGCGTAGGTACAACCTGAATAACCTTCTCTACACCTACTATTTTTATTCATATTTAAAAAAAAACCTTACACGTAATAATAATAATAATAATAATTATAAGAAGGAAAAAAGAGTTATTTAATAAGGAAGAACCACGAATGTACTCCCCCTCCCCTCCCCTCCCCCCATTGTTTTTTAATCGATAAAATTTTGTTTTTTTTTTTTTTACACCTTAATTTACGTCCCTCGCACGAACCTTAACCGTAATTAATTCAAAGTTAAATAAAAAATAAACATGACGTCATCCATGCACCGACAATAGGCAAACGTGGTTTAATATAACTTATTATATTTTAAATAAATAATTATTTGTTGTTTGTAATTATTTAATAATTATTGTAAACGAATTTTTTCTTTTTAGACTTTTGGAAATGTAATTAATAATTAATTAAGTACAACAAGAAAAAAAATGAAAACTAACGGCTTTTAAAGGGGTTTAAGGCGTGTCCCCCTTTGATTCATCATCGCATTTAATTAAACAGTCAAATATTATATTTTTTAGGGGATCCATTAATGAATTTATATCGATTAATATGTGTTCGTATGCAAGACAAAAATAATTTAGTTATGGCATATGGTTTTAAAAATATACAGTAATATTTAAATTTCGTTAAAAAAGCCATTAACTGATTTAACCATTTACGGTTATAATATTGAAGGAAAAAAACCCTGGAATGACGTGTCTCATAGTTTAAAAGTAAAACGTTATATGTTCCAATTTGATTTTTTATAAAATGTGTGACTCATGAAAAAAATCAATTAATACAAGCTAGCATGGATCACTTTCAAAATATTTATCATGTTTATCGTTAATATAGTTTTTATTAATCGTAAAACTATGTTATTAAATGTTTTAATCAATTTAAAACTTAAACTGTTGAGTAAACATAAGAGCTTTTACTCTTTTATCTATTTTTGTTGGTCTTGTTTGTCAGAAAACAAAATCAAGAATTTGATGTTTCAGATTTGAATTTTTTGCATGACTCTATATCAGCACGATTTAAAAGTCGCCTGAAATGTTTTTGCGACATTTAATAATAATTTATTATTGGATTTTATTTTAATATTAATTATTTGTTGCAATTATTTCAATAAAGTTAAATTTTTTTAGACATGGATTGTTTTTGTTTTCTATAGTTCAATTGGAATAGATGTTTATTTCGACCAATGAAATGATGGAATCGTAGGACGCGTCTGAGATTATAAATACACCCAAACTCCGATTTCCGCTCTCACTTTAGTTTGCGGAGCCCGTTACATTGCTTCAAAGACTATAAAATTTTCATTTTTTTATCCGATTATTTATAAAGAAATTTATCAAAATGGTAAGTATATTAATTTTGTTTTATACTCATTTTTACTTATTTTAAATGTACTCTTTGAGTTTTAATTACATTTTGGGATTACATACTACGGATTATATTGGGTCTTATATTAGGCGACGCCATTTTGAATTGCACATGGCAAACGCGTTTAGATTTTGTTAAGCTTGACTCATTTTATATTTCCGGTCTTTATCCTAATTTTATTTTAAATGAAAGATTTACTTTTTACGTGATACTAACTTGTAGATAATAAGAATGGAAATTTTTGCTCCTTTAAAGTTAAGCAGAGGAAGCCTTTAATCTTTTATCCTCTCTTTAAAAAAGAAACGTGTTTGTACATGATGAAGCTACCGGAATTTCGTAGAGGCTAATTTCCTTTTTCTTTTTTTTTAAAGCGTGAATGTATATCAGTTCATGTTGGACAAGCTGGAGTCCAAATTGGTAATGCTTGCTGGGAATTGTACTGTTTGGAACATGGAATCCAACCTGATGGTCAAATGCCCTCTGACAAAACCATCGGAGGAGGAGATGACAGTTTCAACACTTTCTTCAGTGAAACTGGTGCTGGCAAACATGTTCCAAGAGCAGTATTCGTTGACTTGGAACCAACTGTAGTTGGTAAGTTAGTTTTTGCATTTTAATTTATATTTAGGGCTAGTACGAGTTACTTGGTGATTTTTGTGATGAAAATAATTTTAGTCCGTGTTTTTGATAGTTAATGATACAACAGAATTTCTGATTAACCTTTGCAAAAGAGAACATGAGTTTTATATCAGTCTTCATTTTATTAACATATTGATTTTATCTCATTATAGATGAAGTTAGAACTGGAACATACAGACAACTTTTCCACCCTGAACAACTTATCACTGGCAAAGAAGATGCTGCCAACAACTATGCCAGAGGACACTACACAATTGGAAAAGAAATAGTTGATCTCGTTTTGGACAGAATTCGTAAATTGGCTGATCAATGTACTGGTCTTCAAGGATTTTTAATTTTCCATTCCTTTGGTGGTGGTACCGGTTCTGGATTCACTTCATTGTTGATGGAAAGGCTTTCAGTTGACTATGGAAAAAAGAGTAAATTAGAATTTGCCATTTACCCAGCTCCTCAAGTTTCTACTGCCGTCGTTGAACCATACAATTCCATTTTGACTACTCACACCACATTGGAACACTCAGACTGTGCATTTATGGTTGACAATGAAGCTATTTACGATATCTGCAGAAGAAACTTGGACATTGAACGTCCAACCTACACAAACTTGAACAGATTGATTGGTCAAATTGTTTCCTCCATCACCGCTTCTCTTCGTTTCGACGGAGCCTTGAACGTTGACTTGACCGAATTCCAAACCAATTTGGTACCCTACCCACGTATTCACTTCCCCTTGGTTACCTACGCTCCAGTCATTTCCGCCGAAAAAGCTTACCACGAACAATTGAGCGTTGCCGAAATCACCAACGCCTGTTTCGAACCCGCCAACCAAATGGTCAAATGCGATCCTCGTCACGGTAAATACATGGCTTGCTGCATGCTCTACAGAGGAGACGTCGTTCCAAAGGACGTCAACGCTGCCATCGCCACCATCAAAACCAAGAGAACCATTCAATTTGTCGACTGGTGTCCAACCGGTTTCAAGGTCGGTATCAATTACCAACCACCCACCGTCGTACCAGGTGGTGATTTGGCCAAGGTGCAAAGAGCTGTTTGCATGTTGTCCAACACTACGGCCATTGCCGAAGCCTGGGCTCGTCTCGACCACAAATTCGACTTGATGTATGCCAAACGAGCTTTCGTTCATTGGTACGTCGGAGAAGGTATGGAAGAAGGTGAATTTTCCGAAGCTCGTGAAGATCTTGCCGCTCTTGAAAAGGATTACGAAGAAGTTGGTATGGATTCCGTTGAAGGAGAAGGAGAAGGTGGTGACGAATATTAAGCATTTAATTCGAAATTATTTGATTGATGAAAATAAAATGATTATCACATGAGGATTTTGGCTTTTTTCTTATTTATCCTGGATTTTTTAAAAATAAAAAGTCGATTTAATTGGTAATAATAACAATATATATTTGATTATTTTTTACAATTTAAAAAATATAAAATTTTTAGTACATTTTATTAGTCTTAAAGCATAAAAAGAGTAAAACAATATTAATTATCTTACTAAGGCACAATTTGAATTAAAAAAACGTTACATAAAATACTGTTGTCATAAAGCTTTAAAATACATTTCGTTTGGTTAATAAATTAGGGAGAAGACGACAACACGTCATAATAGATTTTTTTTCAAGACGCAAGTAGCTGCACGAATCGAATTTTCTTTTCTCCTAATATTTACTTTTAACATTTTCTTTTTGTAAATGCAAGTTTCGCCACCGCAAATCATAAAATCGAAAAAGATTTTAATGGTATCGTTGACGGTGGATGGAAGGATTTTTAAAAAAAGTTGCCAATTTTTCCCATCGATTTTCCCCCTTGTGGATTCGAGTATGATTGCATTCGAATCGCATTCAATTTTCCACTGACCGTGAATTTCTTCCGGGAAAAATTCGGCTCTCATATGTAATGTACCATCATCAACGTTCATAATAATGTCTTCGTTCCAAATCCCATCTTTTGAATATTTCATTTCCGCGTTGGACGTTTCAAATTTTATTTCCAACTGAAACGAAAACAAAATTTTATCGTTAAAGTTGATTTTTCTTTCTTTATCGAAGAATTTTCCTGTTTCCCTCAACATACTTCCTCAACTTCCTTTTCTTTACATAAATTTATCGTTTTAATTTTATGATTGTTGGTATCACAAACGTATATGATGTCGTCACAGGAACTCATGCAACAGCCTCCAGGTTCGGAAAATAAATTTGATTCTTTGTGCAAACTTGAGGTTGTTCCTGTCTCGACATTTATCTGTTTAATTTTATGATTATACGAATCGCATACGAAAAGGGATTTTCTCTTCTTGTTCCAGGTTAGTCCCAACGGGTGTTGCAATCTGACGTTATAACCTTTACCATCGACATCACCAAAACTGAATAAATCCTGGAATTATTCGATAAAGGGATATGAAACTTATTGTACCTTATTAAAAACTAATGAAAATGATTTTGTATATATGTACTTCTGGAAATCTGGAACCTCCAGCCAAATGTGTCACAGATCCTTTTGTCAATGATAATCGTCTTATGCTTGAGCTTTCCGTGTCAGCAATGAATAAAACTTTTAAATCTTCACTGTATGTTATACCACATGGCTGAGCAAATCCAGCTTTATTTGGTAAATCATTATTTTTATTTTCTTCTTTACCATTTCCCGCTATTGCTAAACATACTTTTTCCTTATACCTTTTAAAATGAGGATTTCAAAAAAAAAAAAAAAAAAAATTTCTTTTAAGGATTTTCTCATTTAACATCCAATGTTTAACTTAAAAACGTACATTTTTCCATTCCACATTCCAGATTCCAAAAAATATGCCCATATTTGATGAGTTCCTGATGTCGCGATGAGTAAAACTTTGGCTGATTTTTCCAATTCTTTATCCCCCGAAAATTTTTCTTCATCTTTTAAAAAACACTGTCGTGAAAGATTTTTAGACAGGGGAATGCGTGCGGTAGGTACAGGCGGCGGTGGCGGTGGAGGAGGAGGTGTGGGAGAAAGAAAAGAATGGGATAAGTTAGAAGTGATTGTAGGCGGAGGCGGTGGCGGTGGCGGCGGTGATAATGATGATGGAGTATGAGAATTATGAGATGAATACGATAAATCAGAAGTCTTATGTAATGATGATGGCGGCGGTGGTGGTGGTGGTACTGAAGGAGTTGAAGACTTTAAAACATCTAAAGATTTTGTAATATGTCTTAAAGGTGAACCAATAGGTTCTGGTATTTTTGGCATTGAAGAAAAATAAAATGTAGCAGATAGACAAACATCCCAGGGAGAAGAAATTTTTTGATTATTTCCTATTTGACCACCAATCAAATCATTTCCTCTTTCGCCATTTCCTACCACTGTAGTCACAATCATTTTATTAAGATCGACCAACCTTATAGCATGATTGTTGGTATCTGCAATGTATAATATACTTTCGTTGAAGAAAGCAAGACCATGTGGTGTATCGAATAGAGCCTCTTGAAAATTTCCATCCTTAAAACCTTGTTCTTTACCTCCAATTGTATACTAGAAGCAATCAAATTAAACAATTAAATAATCTTTCTTCACTTCATTCGAAACATGAGCAAATAACATTTTTTTTTTTTCGACTTTAATCACTTTGGAAAAAGCTGAAATTAAATTTCAAAGTATTTTATTTAATAATTTACCTGTTGTAATTTTAAAGTTTAAATTTAATATATATAACAAAATTACCTTTACAACACCTTCAACATTAAAAATTATTATTCTATGGTTGCCACTATCGGAAACTGCAAATAAGTTGCCCCATCTGGTAATTTTTGAAGGATACTTTAAAGCAGAAGATGAAATTATTTCATCTGATTCTACAATAGGTAACCCATGAGTTGATATTGATGTTTTATAATATTTTAAAGCAACCTTAACATATAATTCCAAATCATCTTTGTGTTGATCTCCTATTAAATTAAATATAATTTTTTGTGATGGATCTGAAACATTGGTATCAATAAATTTTTAAAACTGAAAATAATTCTGATATTAAAAAATTGTACTGTAAAATGATAAATCATCTAGTTTTATACCTGATATTAAAATTGTGGGCCAACAAATAATGTTATACTTATTCCACAAATCACTATTCTTATCGTTCACCACTGGATGTTTGATTCCATATTTTTTTAATGCATCCCCAATATTTTTTGAATTTTTTTCATTTTCAAATTTACCACTATGAACTCCAATCTTTCAGTTGAAACAGCAAAATGATAAAATAATTTTAAACATTTGAAGTTTTAACCCGCCATGTAAATGTTTTTAAATACTCACTATAACAACACCATCTTTCAATGAATATTTTTCTTCAAGTTTTCGAATGATGGGAAACATGTGAAAACAATTAATGCAACCATATGTAAAAAAATCCAATATTACAATTTTTCCTTTTAACAATTCTGAAGAAAGTGGCTTATTTACGTTCAACCAGTCCAAACCTAGAAATACATCATCAAGTTGAGAAAAAAAAAGAAGGAATATAATCTAAGTATGACTAAATTCATTTGTAGAAAAGTAAAATGAAAGAACTACTTAGATATAAGTTTATCATTTTATCATTATCACGATAATAATATACCTCCAAGTATCTTTCAAAGTTTTTAATAAGTATTCTCACCTGTTGGAAAATCAACTTTAACTTCTGACTCATTATTAGCTCTTTTGATGTGTTCGAATACAATTTCTTCAACGTTTTTATTTTCTTTTCCATTGCCCAGCTTTTCATCCAGTTCATCCATAAGAATCAACAACTTTTCCATGACTAATACTTTTTTTAAAAATTAACATTGAAAAGATATCATTTTACACATACAGCAGCAACAACAATCAGGTATGACAACTTAAACATTGACATTTAATTAAGCGCAATTAATATTAAATTCAAATTATTACTAGATTAAGACTTCTTCCTTAATATTTCTTTTAAAATTTTTCTTAACGGTTTCTTTTATAAGTTAAAATTAAAAATAATTCCTTTCTATTGAATTTAAAACAATTTCTAACACGTAATTAAAAAAAAAAAAATGTTAATATAATAAAGAAAGAACACCCCCCGTTTCTAACAAATACAAATAACTGATTTTTTTTTTAGAATTTTTCAGAAAATCATGTCAAAATTTTATTAAAAAATTCATGAAATTTTTTTATATATATATATATATATATATATATATATATATATATATATATATATATATATATATATATATATATATATATATATATAAAATTAAAAACAAAATGATTAATGTTTAAATAAATAATATATTTTATCAAATTAGTTTTGCTTGATTCATTAAACGTTTGTCCGACATCTTTCTTCATGTGCATCATGAGTAAAATTTGTTTAAATTAATTAATTATCCATCACGCACTAAATAAACTACGAAAAAAAAATTAAAATTTAAACAAATAATGAATTTTAAATAAAATTCACAAAAAAAAAAAAACTTTTAAAAAGAAGAAGAAAGGAAAAATGTTTTGTCAGAATAAATGTTTTCTTAATTTTCCAAAAAAAAAACTTTCAACCTTTAATTTATATATATTTTCACAGTTAATTACAAAAATACAAATATATATATTTTTTAATTAATAATTTTATTTATTATTTACATAAGATTCAGAGATCAAAGTGCTTTTTTAAAAAAAAAATCATTGTAATATTTTAAAAAAAAAAAAAGGAGATTTTATGTAATCTCAACTTTTTTTTTTTAAACATCACTCTTTTACTTTAATCATCATCATCATCTCTCATTTAATAAATAAAATTATTATTATTTTATTGTCAAAATGTCAAAAAAAAAAAAATTCTTTTTATTTACCTAAATTTAAAAAAAAAATTCCAATTCCGGTTTTCTTTCCCATGAATGGAAGTCAACAATTTAATTCGTTTTCAATTCGAATGGATATTCGGGATGTTTTTCGACTCTGAAAATAATATTCATATATAAATGAGTGTGTGTGTGTGTGTGCGCGTGTTGTAGAAAAAAGAAAATGGCTTTTACCCTTTGTAAAACAAAAAATTAAATAATCTTCCATTTTCACCGCGATCCAAAGAACTTAAATCCGACATATTGTCTTCGCTTAATTCAAAATTCAAAGCCTAGAAGAAAAAAACAATAAATCAAACATGGCCGCTTCGAATATGATAATAAAAAAGAAAATGATGGTGGAAATAAATTTACTTCGAAATTTTCTTTTATCCGATCTTTCGATGAACTTTTAGGCACGACAGCAATTCCTTTTTGAATAAGAAATCTAAGTAAAATTTGAGCTGGAGTTTTATTTAATTTTGTAGCGATTGACAATACTTTTGGTTCGTTGAGAGGATCAGGTACTTCGTTAGGTTTAAAATCGTACTTGGCTTTAAAGTGATCTTTGGCAGCTGGTGATCCCAGAGGGGCATAAGCCGTCACGGATATCCCTAATTTTTTACACGTGTCTACTAAATCGGGTTGCTGGAGAAAAGCGTGTAATTCCACTTGGAGATTGGCTGGTAAAATCTCAGCATTCGAAACTATTTTTTCAACTTGTGCCTTATTGAAATTAGATAAACCGATATTTTTAGCTAGTCCAGAACGAACAGCCTTTTCCATTTCCTGGAGAAAAAAAAAAAAATACAAAACCAAAAAATATTTGACATTTCAATGTTTCAAAAAAAAAAAAAAGAATTTACTTTCCAAACAGCCAAATGATCCGTTTCTTCATCTAACGCAGGTGGATCCGTTCCAGAGGGAGGATAAAAAAATCCAAAGGGATGATGAACTAAATATAAATCAACGTAATCTAATTTGAGATTTCGAAGGGATTCAGTTAAATATTTTTCCACTTCGGATGGTCTATTTCCAAAATTTGGCAACTGGAAATTAAATAAACAGGAATGACAATTAATTTCAAATTGTAATTTTTTATGAAGCCATTTTGTTGTTGTTGTTGGATTACCCACTTTGGTTGTTATAAAAAGTTCTTCACGTTTTCCACCCTGTTTTATCCATTCTGTTATGGCATTTCCAATTGCTTTTTCATTTCCATAATTATAAGCCGTATCAATTAAACGGTAGCCGATTGAAAAAGCCCAACCAACGGCTTGTTCTACAATTTCCGGTTTTGCCTAAACAATAGTTTTATATTTCAATTTTTTTTTTTTTTTATAATAATAATTACAAATAAAAAATACTGAATTATAAAATAAAAAAAAAAAAAAAAAAAAACGTACAACAAATAATAATTCAAATTTTACAAAATATTAATTTACCTGCCATGTGCCTAATCCTAAGACTGGCATTGATTGTTTGCTTGGTAAAATAATAGCATTCAATGCCATTTTAAACAAGACACTGACTTATTCAAGGCAAACGTTTAAAATACTAATTTTCCAAACGAGTATTATTATTATTATTATTATGTATTCGCATTTTAGTAGCAGAAAAAAAAAAAAAATTACATGAAGGTCAAGTTAAAAATTAGTTAACAAAAAAAAATAAATTAAAATGAATCCAATCCTATAAAACTGAAACAAAAAGAAAACATTTTTTTATATATTTTTTTTACAGCTGATGCTTTTAACACTTTTGTTAAAACTAAAATTATTTAAAAAAAAAAAATAAAAATAAAAATTTAAAGCAGAAACAATTTGAATATTTGTACATGTGCTATATGTAGTTTTAATGCGCATGGAATGTGACGTCACACAATATTTCTCATATTACTCATGTCAAATTTAAAAAGCTCTCCCTAATATTAAACAAAATCATTCTCATTTTTAAATATTATTATTATTATTAAATCAATTTATTTAAAATTATTACCTTTTTACCTTAAAATGTTTATTTTTTAATTTACAGTAATAAAACCAATCAATAATTATTAAAAAAAAAATAATAATAATAATTAATGTATATGTACAATTGAAAATCACGTAAAAATTGTTAGCTTTCTTTTATTAAAAAAAAAAAAATAATAATAATAATAATGCTTTTTAAATGACCACGTCATAGATTTATTTATTTTTTATATAAATAATATAAAATTTCCTCCTTCTCTTTTAATACATGACAAGATATTTTTTTTTTTCTTTCTTTCAAAATAAATTTTTGTTTGATTCTTTTTGCTGTTGTTGCTATTATTATTATTATTACTCTTCAATTAATAAATTATTTATTATTATCTTCTTGCAAAAATTGTTTGACAGACACTTTAGATTTCATGTAATTTTCTTGTTCGTCACTTTTTTTAATAATTTCATCGAATTCTTGTTTCCAACCGAGTAAATCCACAAGTTGTTCGCATAGTTCGTCGCAATCCCCTAAAAACGCGACATCCCTGTAATTTTTATCGGAATCTAAATCCAGACCACCCCCCAATCCGAAAATAGACATGAATTTATCTTTCTGCCCTGCTTTTTCCCTATTAAGAAGTAATCTGGGACAATTAGAATTGACTCTGTCAACTAATGAAGCAAAGGGTTGAACGGCTAAAGAAGAACCCATAATAATGAGTAAATCAGCTTTGGGAAAATCCTCTTCGGAAAGGGAAAAAAATCGATTTGGAAGGTTTTCGCCGAAAAAAACAATATCCGGTTTCACGACGCCTTTGCAATCTTCACACAATGGCACTTTTTCTGTGAAAATTTTATCTGAAATAAAAATTTATTGAAATTATTCCATTATGAAAGCTAATTACTTTTTTTTTTTTTTTTTGATAAAAATAAAATAATGTATACTTTTCATCCATTCCAATGAATATTTTTTTTTACAAGATAAACAATGAGACGTGTAAAACGTTCCGTGAGCTTCGACAACTTTTTCCGAAGGAATCCCGGCTAATTTTTCCAAACCGTCTATATTTTGAGTGTAATGTCGTAGAAGTAAACCTTTTTCGTGAAGCAATCGAACGAAATAATGAGCAACGGTAGGTTTATACGAACCGGGAAATAATTCTTTGGCCAAATGAAAAAAAGGCTCGGGATTTTCTTTAAAATAATCAATTGCAAATATTGCCTAAAAAGAATAACATAAAATTAATGGCCGCCTTCCTGTAATTTTTACCAATTCTTTGAATTCCCTGACTTTCGATATAATCTCTGACATCGAGCAGTTGGTTTAATTGTTTTCATAATCAAGTAAATTGAATGTTTATGTATCGATATCAAAAACAAATTTAAAAAAAATAAATCGAGTTTTCAAAAATTTCAAATGTTTACCGACATGTTTCATTACCTTTAAATTATTGCATTTTTAATAATAAATTTTATTATTTAAAAAACATGTTCACAATAAAAATAATAATTTTTCAAATAAACTCACCTGCGGATGAGGTAACTTGTATTTTCCCAAATTATCATATAATCCAGAACCTGGAGAACGAAAATCTGGAATTCCCGCAGATGTTGATATGCCAGCACCTGCCATTACAACTATTTTTTGACATTTGTCAGATTTTATATAATTTACAATTCCTGTGATGGAAACTTCATCCAAAACCTGTACAGCTTTCTATTTGAAATAATAATACTTTTAATTAATAATTTTTTTTTAATATGCTTGGTGATTATGATGAAAAAAACATTACCTCTTTTTTAGACTGACCACAAAATGAACATGCAACTGGCAAAAGAGAACAATTTGCTCCCATTTAGTTCCAAATATTTCGTTAGGTACTGTCAATTCGATTGATCAATATTCGAGTACTTAATTTAATATATTTTTATTTAATTTTTTTATAAACACTAATAACCTTATTTATCATTATCATTATCAGTAAACAACTTAACTATAATTATTGTAAAACAAATTTGGAAAGCTGTTTGTGGACAGAATTAAATTTTTAAAAAATAGAATTTAATTGCATAATTTTAATACTTATGAGCTTTTATCAGCACTTTACAAATTGAAAATTATTGTTTTAAGTTGTTAGCATAGAGAAAATTTTTATTTGTTGCCAATCAAAAAAAAAATAAATACAAAAATTTTTTAGGGAGCAGTGTTTTCACTTGTTGCATAATTCTTTGTGGTTTTTCCCTATTACAGTAAAAAATGAAATGAAATAATAATTAATACCTTTTTTGGTTCTTCTGATTTTTTTTCATCAGAACTAAATCCAAGTTTCTCTGACATAAATCTTCTAATGGCTTCAACTACACTTTCATCATCTTTTGAAGTACTTTGCTCAGATGAATGTAAAATTTTTGATGATTTACTACATGTTTCTTTTTCTTCTTCTTCTTTTTCTTCTTGAGTTGTATCAGTTTTGGAATTGGAATCATCTTTCTCTTTCGAAGTTCCTTCGTTTTTCGAAGAATTGTTATCTAAAAATTGAATGAATAAAAAATTAAGAAACTCAAATTTTATTAAATTTCATTATTTCTGTATAATAATTTTATCATTATTAAAAAATTTTATGAAAAATACCTACCCATATTTTCAAAAAATATTAATTATAAAAACGCAACACTTTTTTAATGACTTAGCTTTTTCAACACATAAATAATGTCATAAAAAAGAATTTTTTTAAATAAGAAGTGGCAGTAGAATTTAATTCGATATTCCGATAAATATTTCTGTTTATTATACTTATCGTCAAACATCGATTTATAGTTACACTTTAAAACAATACTTATTTACTTACTACTTGTTTAAAGTTATTAAGTTAACTTTAAAAAATGTTAGCGAGCAGATTGTGCTCAAACGAAAAAATTTTAAATTTCTTTGTATACCCTCGGAAATTTAATAAATTCATAAATATTGTAATATTTTTTAAATACAAACGTTTTTTAATTTGTTTTTGCAGCCTTTTAAAAGAAAGGTTTTATTTTAGACAACAAATGCCAATAGAATTTTCATAAGGAATAAGAGTTTATTTCATCATTTAAAGTTTAATAATGCTGTATTTCAACCTAATTGGTCATTTATCAGAAGTCAAGTTACAGTACCGATTGCCAAAGTAGCCACACAAAAACCTGTAGGTATCTGGCTAACTATTTGTTCAGGAATGGTATACCTTGCTGTTGCCATTGGAGGTTACACTCGTTTAACCGAATCTGGACTATCTATGGTTACTTGGAAATTTGCATATGAAAAATACCCTTCATCTGAAGATGAATGGGAAAATGAATTTAAAAAATATCAAGAGTATCCAGAATATAAGCAGTATGTTTAGGAAAGTTTTTTTTTTTTAATTAAATATTTTTAAATTATTCTCTTAAATATGCTTAATAATTTTTAGGTTGAAGAAAGATATAACATTATCTGAATTTAAAAATATATGGTTAACTGAATATTTTCACAGAAATTGGGGAAGATTTCTTGGTCTTTCCTTTTTCATACCTGCCGGTTTGTTTTGGATGAAAGGCTATTTGTCGCCATTTTTAAAAAAAAGAATTTCAGTTTTTGGACTACTAATTGGAGCTCAGGGATTGATGGGATGGTATATGGTCAAATCTGGTTTAGAAGATAGATTTCACAAAGATACTGAAATTCCAAGAGTTAGTCAGTATAGATTAGCAACTCATTTGGGACTTGCATTGACTTTGTACACTGGATTATTATGGACAGCTCTTGAACTTTTATTACCTACACAAAAAATTGTATCTCATTCTAATATTAAAACTTTAAAAATATTGTCTCATACTTGTAAAGGAATGGTATTTCTTACTGCTCTTTCAGGTAAAAAAAAAAATCTACACAATGTACAATACCCACAAAAAAAAATTTTTTTTAACCTCAAATATAAAATTATTTCTTTTCAGGAGCTTTTGTTGCTGGTTTGGATGCAGGACTAGTTTATAACTCATTCCCTAAAATGGGTGATAAATGGATTCCCGATGATGTATTAGATTTATCGCCATGGTACAAAAATTTTACTGAAAATCCAACAGCTGTTCAGTTAGATCACAGAATTTTGGTAAATATTAAATATATATATATTTTTTTTAAAATTAAAAATCCTTATTTATTTAAATAAAATTACTTTTTAGGGTATATCAACTTTTTCATTAATCATGATTACAAAACTAATTTCAAGAAAATACCATCTGCCTAAGACGGCAAAATGGGCAGTCAATTCTTTAACTTTAATGGCTATATTACAAGTTTTGATGGGAATATCCACTCTAGTTCATTATGTTCCTACATCACAAGCAGTGGCTCATCAATCAGGATCGACAACTTTGCTAACAACTGCCATTTGGTTTGCTCATGAAATGAAAAAATTAAAATATGTTCCAAAATAAATTCAAAATGTATTGTTCGAGTAAGTTTTCAAGATTGTTTTAATAAAAAAAGAAAAATCAAAACTTTTATAAACTCAATGCATAAAGATTTTATCACTAAAACTTTTTTTTTTTTTTCCAGATGTTACTGATCGATGAAGAATTAAAGTTACATTTTAACTATTTATATACTTCTATTGTAATGAATCGATAATAGCATTCAATAAGTAATATAAAATTATGTATCAAAAATTGATTTGTTTTACTTTAATACACACACACACATTTATAAAAAAGCTAATTTAAAAACTTTTAATTTTTTTTATTATATTCATGCTTCATAGTTTTCATAATATATAACCAATATTGACATCTAATTTTATCATATTTGTTCGCAAGTAAATCACAAAGCTGAAACGAAAAAATCAAGTACTGTTACTCTTTAATATTAAAATTTTTTCATTTTTAAATAAAATGTAAATGTAATTAGTATTATAATAAAAAAAAGTTGCATAAAAAAATAATACTTAAGTGTAATTAAATTTTCCTTACCTCTAATGCAAATGGTATATTAAAAAAATCATTACTAATGTTCGACTGAGTCATCTCTTCGCATAAATCAACTATGTGAGCTAATAAAAATGAATTGGTACTTCCACTTTCATAAAAATCTTTACAAATACTACATATCTTTTTATAAACATCAGAATCGATGATACAATGTGATCTAAGTCTATAAAAGAACACAAAGTTACAACATTTTTTAAAAAAATATTATTTCATAATTATACGAATGATTTTTCTTTACCCCTTTAAATAATTCCAAGCACTTTCATTTTTTAAAACTTGTTTTAATTTTTTATAAGTAAAATCAATTTCTCTATCTAAAATATTTGGAGTGAAATGTGTTGTATTTTTAATTACAAAATGTCTTTGATTCCAAGCCGAATTGTTTCTAACATCATTTTCTAAAAGACGTTCCACATATTCTAATTCATTATCGTATAAACTGAAATAATCAATAAGTTACACAAATAGTATTTTTTTAAAAAATGTAAATCATTAATTAATATTGAAATAATTTAAATATTGTGTTAATTTTAATGGATATTTTTTAATACTTGCTTAAATGTTTTAATGACCCATTGCCTGTATTGCCAGGCATGATAATTTTTAGCATCCAAACCTAAGATTATTTCAGTAAGCTCTAATTCATGACTTGGATCTTGCAACCATTCTACTATTACTTGTCTATGATGCCTGTAAAATAAAAGAATACACATAATTAAACATTTTTTATTTACTACAGTTTCAAACAAATATCAGTCGATTGTTACTCACCAAACTTGATAATTTTTTTCATTGGCTTCTATCATATTTTTAGTATAATTTAACTCTTCTAAGAGATTCTTGTTTAAATACTTAAGAAGATCTCTCCTGTATTTCCAAACGGTGTAATTGGCAGGATTTAATTCTAAAGCATCTTTAGTAAGTTCTAAGGCTCGTTCTGACTTTTCTTGACTTTTTAATATTGCTCGAAAATAACCGTAAACATCAGAAACTGTATAAATAATAAAAATCAGTTAAAAACTCTTTCGCTAAAATTTGTTACCATGATACAAAAAAATTTTTTAAATCTTACATCTATCTGTGTAAGAAATAGAAACTACGGGATACTCCCCGTCATCCTGCGGTACAGGCTTGACATCAAGCCATTCTTCTCTATCTTTATAAAAAACCCAATCTTTATCGTTAACATTAGGCGAAATTCGATTTTCCTCTTCCATATTAAAAAAAAAAAAAGTATTAATTCGATAAATTGTAATAATTACATGATCAAGTACACCATAAAGTTTATAAACTGAATATCATAGATTAAACAAATAATAAATTAAAAACGGTTTTTTTACTCTATGTCCTTGTTACTGAACGTAACGTTTAAAACTTTTTAGGAAAATGTCGGACAACATCTAATAAAAAAACTTTTTATAAAATTTGCAAAAAAAAAAAAAATAATTTCAATTAAATATTTCTTTTGATACGTTTGATACAAAGAAATTATTCAACTTTATTTAATAAAAAGTAATTATTTTTATGTTTAATTTTTTCCATTTGTGATTCGTTGGTGACAAAAAACTACTGTTAAATTTTTTCAACAAATTAATTTCAGACATTTTATAAGATTAAGAAAAGTAAAATCATTTAAATGTAATGGTGTATAGTGTACTCGTAATTTTACAACTCAATTTGTATTCTATTGGAAAATAAGATTAAAATTTTTTATAAAAAAACTAAAGAAAATGAAAGCTGAAAGACCTTGGCCTGAATAAGAGGTACTTGTTTTGTGTGGCTTTTGTGAATTTTTTTATTAAACCTTCCAACATTTAGCAAAACTTAGCTATAACAATTTTGATTATATTTTATTTTTTTTTTTTAGTAAAATAAAAGAAATTTCAATTGCAAAACTAAGAAATTAATCATCAATCATACTATTCTATTAGCATTCACACAAGAATACAAAGAATCAAATTTTACAAATTATTCATAATTAGGAAAAATTAGGTAAAATTATTTTTTATTCTTTTAACTAAAAGTTAATCAAAATTCATTTTAAAGGCTTTCTTTAAAAATAAGAAAAAATTTCAATTCAGAAACATTATTACAAATGTTTTTATTTAAATAAATAAGAACAAAAAAAAAAAGAGAGAGAGAGATAAAAGATGATAATAAACTTGAAAACAAATAACATGCTTATAATATTCTACATAAAATTCTATTCACGTTATGTATATATATAAATTCGTCACATTATTTACAGATAAAATTATGCCTTAATAAATAATAAATCTCATATTAATTAATAAACAAATTTTTTTTTTCGTTTTTTTTTTTTAAAATGTCGTCGTCGATTGTTTACATAACAAATATATTTAATCACAATTCGACAATTGTACCCATTTCAACTCCTGATGATATATTTTTATTATTATTTCTAAAATTTTTTGTTTTAGATTCCAATTCGAGTTCCATTGTAAGACTTTCAACTTCTGCTTCTAAGGTTCTACTCCTTCTAAACATTTGAACGTAATTTAATTGTAATTGCCTTTGATACCTTAATACTTTTTCTTTTTCTTGTGCCCACGTGATTCTTTCCTGTTCGAAATCTGTCCTTTCGGACAAAAGTTGATTTTTTAACCTGTGTAATTCATTATTTAATTCTTTAACATCATCCATTTGAATTTCATTATCATCATCCAATTTTAAAATACTGTTTTTTTTTTTTTTTGGCTTTTCTATTTCTGATAATTTATTATTATTATTATTTTTATCATCCGGTTTTTTTTTACCAGTTATATTATTATTATTATTATTTTTACATTTTTCAACATCCAATTCTTTTTTTAATTTTTCTATTTCTTCAATCAATTTAATTTTATCATCTTGTTCTTCTTTTAAAACTTGACAAACGTCAATTATTTCCCTACGTAATGTCGTCAATTCGTTTTTCAATGATTCCGATTCGGATGATTCAAATTCTTTTTTCATTCGTTCTTTTTCTAATTCTTCTCTCAAATTTTTTTTTTCATTTTTCAGACTATCGATTTCTTTTTCGTATTTTTCAATTTCTTTGACAAGCAAGGATTTTTCACTTTCTCTTTTATCAAATTCGACTTTTAAATCTTTCAATTGATTCCGGAGTTGAATCAATTCGTGACCTTTTGACGTTTGTTCGCCCTGTGCAGAAAAAAAAAAAAAAAAAAAAAAAAAAGATTGACATTGGCATTATTCATTTTTTTTTTTTTTTTTAAAACAAGTTTTTCGTTTGAAATGATGGCGGATAATAAAATTTACCTGAGAGTCTTTTAATTGTGCTTTGAGCAAAGACATTTCCCCCGTTTTTTGACATAGTCCCCATTCCGTTTCTTCTAATCTTCCACGTAATAAATCGACTTCCTGTCGCAAATCCGTCGTTTCCCGAGCAGCTCTATCGGCTTCCTCTCTTAGTCTTTTCTTTTCCTGTTGTAACTGATAGGTTTGCATCATGAGCATTTGTTCCAATTTTAATACTTTTTGAGCGCTAGTCCTTAATCTATTTTCGTGTACGGCTTTTAACCTTCTCTTATCCCTTTCCCAAGCTCTTTCTTTTTCTTGATAAACCCGAATTATGGCTTGCTCATTGTGTTCCATTGTCTGTCTTAGGTAAACCAATTCTGAATCTCTTTCCCTTAATGCCGTTTCTAATTCCGCAACTCCTGAGTCTGACGGAGAGGGAGTTAAATCTAGCAAACTACTGTTACTCTCTGAATTTGATATCATACGAAATGATGACGATTTCGTTCTGCAAAAGTAAAAGTTGAAATAAGTTATTTAAAATGATTTGTTTTTATCTAAACAACAAAAAAAATGATGATTAGACGTGTATCGAATGAAAAAATTATAAAAACGTAGACAATAATATATGATTTAATCGAATATTAATTATGCATTGTAAAGTTGTGCCGCCAACGAACAATAAATAAAAATAATAATAATAATAATAATAATTACTTACTTTGTAGGGAGACTGCAATGACTATTATTTCTTGAAAACGAAGATCCGGGTGATTTACTACAATGTCGAACACTTTCCATCGAATCATAAGTATGTAATTTTTGTGGTAACGAAGATAAAGAAGCCATTCCCAATGGAGGTGATGATGCTGACGATAGAGATTTTCTATCTAATGAATAATTAAAACTATTGTGATGATGATGTCTTAAATCTGTACTACCTGCAACAAAATCACGGTGAGTTATTTTAAAAAAACAATAATAATAATAATAATAATTAAGTAAGTTTTAAAAATGATACCGACTTCCGTAAAGTGTAAGCTGTGATCCAGGTCTTGTAAGAATCGGTGTTGATCCATATCTTTCATTTCCGTTATTAAATCTTGCATTTGACATTAAACCGATGGGTTTAAACGCGATCGGTCGCACAACAACTTTCCCCTTAAAAAAATAAAAACAAAACAAATATTTAAACTAGTGACACGATAAAAATAAAAAAAAAAAAAGCGCGCGAAAAAGAAATCGACGATCGAAATCCTTTTAAGAAATAAATGATGACGTCAATCGTTTATCCTTATACGTAGGTACGTAAAACTTTCCATAAATTACTTGGCGGGGGGGGGGAAATTTATTTATTAGTAAAAAAACTTTTCTAATTGTCGTCATGAGATAAAAGTTATTATTATTATTATTATTATGATGTGAGAAAATAAAATTCGCATAATTAATCTCTGTCAGTTTTTTTACACACGCACGCAGACATTCACCCAATGTAATAAAATTAATGTACCCCTAATTGAAAAAAAATTTTTTTTTTTAAAATAAATTGATAGAATTTAAAATCCGCCATTTTATTTCGCATGAAAAATAAATTCGAAAGAGAGAGAAAAAAAAAAAAACATTCTCACGAATATTACCTTTAAAAAAAAAAAAAAAAAAATTACTTTGTTTCTTTTTTCTTTTTGCAAATCATCACGATTTGGCGGTTAAAAAGGTTTCACGAAATGAATTTACATAAAAGGAATAATGAAAATTCAAAAAAAACAGTTTTGCCAACTTAATAATAGAATTGATCGAATTGATTTTTTCCTTTTCCTTTGACCTCAATGATAACAAATAATATTTAAAATATAATTAATACAAAATCGAGAGAGAGAGAAACGATTTAGTCGGTTTTTTTTTAAGGACGGTGGTTATAAAAACCTTGTAAAGATGACCAATCGTAAAAAAGTTAACCTAATCGCGTCTAATCGTCAAGAAATATATAAAAAATCTGAGTCACAAAATGAACTCACACAACATGACGCAACGTTTTTAAATATAATGATCTTTTTTTTTCTTTTTACCACCTACGCACGCACACGCACGCACGCACACACACACACGCACAACGATCAATAAAAAATCATTTCGACAAAAAAACAACTTAAAATTTTTTCGGGTTCGAACGTAATAAAAAAAAAAATAGATTTTTACCTTTTTAAATATTAGTTTCGACCATAAAATTTTATTTTCTTTTTTTTTTTTTTTTTTTTTTGTTACTTCAATAACAAACCAACGCATTATTATTATTATTATCATTATCATTATTATTATTATCATCATCTTCTTTTTGGAAAATTTAAAAGAAAAAAAAATTTCGTTTTTCTGTTTTTCCGTTTGAGATTTTTCAACAATACGATCCATTATTATTGATACGAGGAAAGAAAAGTTTTTTTTTTTTTTTTTTTTTTTTTAATTAAAAGGTCAAAGGTTAGGGGTAAATTAAAAAAATTTAGGTTGTGAGCAACCTAAACCTAGTTACCTACCTACCAACCTTATAATTTTACGGATTAATATTTACTTTATTATTATTATAATCGTAAATAAAAAATTTTTGAATTTTACCGTGAAAGAAAATTTTTTTATTTTATCGATGATGATAATAATAATAGGTACGCGTGCGTGTGCACGTGCGCGTTTTTTTTTTTTAAATTAATTAATAAATAATATAAATAAAACGTTTCGACAGATTAACAAATAAATAATTTTTTTTTAAAATTCGTGATTTGATTGGGATTGATCGTGTGAGAAAATTTTTTTATTTTTTGGGGGGGGCGGTGGGGGGGTTAAATAAATTCAAATACGAGTT